GTGGGTCTTTATCCGCAAAACTGTATTTAGTCTTTATTAATGATTTGCTAAATGAAGTGGAATTTAGCGGGAAAGGGGCAATAGTTCTTTCCTCGCGAATAAATATACCTACACAAGCTGATGACATATGTATTATCAGCAATAACGTTAATAGTTTACAGTATCTACTATCTATTTGCGAGAAATACAGTAGAAAGTGGAGATTTACATTTTCCTCTACTAAATCTAAAACTGTTGTTTTTACTTCTAAAAAGAAGCCCAATATTAATTGTGATATAACTGTATATGGAAAGAAACTACCAATTGTAGAAAGTATTACTCATGTCGGAGTTTTATTGAATAGTAGAAATAACAATGTCGAACGTACAGAACGTGCTTGTTCCAAATTAAAGAGTGGTGTTATGTCCTTAATTCGTTCTGGAGCACATCCATGTGCTCTGAATCCTTTAACCACTGCAAAAATTGTAAAGTGTAAAGTATATCCCTCAGCACTGTATGGGTGTGAATTGTGGCAATTAAAGCAAAATGAAATTTACATGTTAGAAAAAGCACAAAACTTCATTGTCAAATCAATCCAAGGTTTTAATGTAAGAACAAGAACAGATATGTGCACGTCCTTGATTGGTTGGTTTTCTGTAGAAGTATACATCAGCGTAAAGAAAATGTTATTTTTTGGTAGAATATGTTCCATGGAAGTTGGCTGTTTAACACGCGAAATTCTTATCAAGCGTCTATTCGAATTCAACCTGTCTCAATTTAGTAGAGGTTTTGTTCCCGACATTGTTAATGTTTTACAAAAATACAATTTGTATCATTTTATTGATGAATTTTTGAAGAGTGGTGTATTTCCAAACAAATGTCAATGGAAGCGTTTAGTCAATGACCATGTAAAAAACTATGAACAGTTTAACTTATGTGAAAGAATGAACGCTGATAGGGACTTCTCTCGCTTCACTCTTTTACATAATAAGATACAACCGTATGCTATATGGAAACTTGCTTTACGCTTTCCACAATACAGTCCATGTTTTAAGAAAATTGTTAAACTTTGTGTTGAAATGCGCGATAATGAAAATATATATTTGTGTCATTACTGTGGATCTATGTACAAAGATACTATTATGCATAGTGTACTCGAATGCTCACACACAGAGCTATTACGTGACCAGCTCTGGTGTGTACTCAGTACTGTAAAAGATATAGATTTTGTGTTTAATCTTAATGTAATGTCTAATTACCATCTACTTCATGTTCTTCTTGGTGGTATTTTCAATTATGACTTATCTCCATATGAACTGGAGGACTTTAGAATAAAATCCATTGTTATTATTACTAAAATTCTTCAATACAGTGGCATTATGTAATTTATCCTTAGATATTTGAATGTTGTATACTGAGTAATATGATCACTAATTTACTTGTGTGTACCTCACGCTTCAGCAAGATGAATACATGAAATACATATATTTTTGTATTCATATTAGTAGGCAAGCATTTCCTACGTCTTTCCTGTTGATTAGTGCAACTTACTACCATTCATAATATTGTTTGTATTGTATGAATTAATCTTGTGAGATGTATTACTACAACTGAAATCATTGTATGGTTGCGCTGTTTCTTCAAGTTAATTATTATATTGTATGTTGTGTATTTCACACCACTGTATGACTATGTTGTATGACTTCGTGCAACGGGTTCTACTCAATGTATGATTGTATTGTAAGACTTATGTAACAGTAATACTGTCTATAATAATGCTGTATAATTTATAGTGCGATGCTTGTAATACTGTTTATTACAATGTTGTATGATTGCTTAGTACGAGAAGTGGATTACTGTCTATACTATTATATGATAATGTAGTCTGAGGAGTGTAAATATGTCTATTATATCAATGTGTGATGTAATATATGATTAGTGTTATACTGTCTATCATCATAATTATCACCGTATAATGACTGTAATAGTACCTATTATATCATTGTGTTGTGTTTATAGTACTTTATGGTATGATGCGTGTACTATTATTATTCTCTTATGTGTGTGTCTGTCCATGTGCATGTGTGAGTCACTATGTCAGGGTGTGACCATGATTGTGAATGCATTTTCTTCTCTTTTCAATAGTGTTTTGTTCGTTATTTCTGTAACTCTTCATTTCTGGAGGAAATAAAGGAAATAATGGTAATAGACATTTCGCCAAATAGCACTCTGATACTTCGGGCAGTCATGGGGACGGGTAACATGTTCACCCATTCATACCAAACTAAGGATTTCTTAATCTTGACACCTATAATCTTTGTAACGAATCCAGATATTGATTATGATTATTTCATTGCTAATGGTTGGTCTTCAACTTCTCAATTTCGATTCTTTACCGTATTATTTGAATTTCGGTATTTCCTTTTTTTTTTTTAATCATTTTCCGTCGTGGAGCATAATTATCAGAGAGTTGTTATGATAATCCATTGCAAGTTTCTGATTATCAAGGGTACCCTGTTCCAAAAGTATCATGGAAGAGATATACCATACATGGAATTCAAACGATTTTCACTTCAAAGTATGACATTCATAACATAATGCCAAAGGACAATTCTGGAGTGATAACGTCAGTTCTCAAGGTGTACAACGTCACAAGTTCCGACTACGGCACATACATCTGTGAAGGGACTAATGATATTGACAAGTGTACGTCAGAAGTTAGATTACTAGGTAAGCATGTTTATCAGAACTATCGGTTAAAATAAACATTAAACATTCTCCTCGCTGCCACAAGGGACGTAACCATCGCCATTTAATATAAACTCAAGTTATACCATTACCTGTCACTGCAGTGGTACTACGACAACTTTATACCATCTATTTCTACATTGTATTTTATATCATGTATTATAAGAAATGAATAAGTAACAAAATACATTTGTTTTGATCTATTTTTGTTATTATGTAACGCTGAATCACGAAGACATATGTGTTTAGGTAGGAATTCACCTGTAAAATGTGAATGTGGTTGGGCTAATTTGCTGATTATCTCTAGTATTAATTTATGTAGAGAGCCGACTTTGTGTAGGGCCTCGTTGCGACAGCCAAGCTGACCCCAGTGACAGCAGTAAGTACCTCTCCCATTCTAAGTCTGATTCCTATACTAGTATTAGCCTGCAATTTCAACCCTTATAGAACGTTTTAATTTGTATGTGAAATTACGACGCTGGTTGGCAAATCCGAAATGCACATGTCGATTGACGTCACAGAATATATGACGTCGAATACATTTTGACGACAATAACGTTCAGAAGCTCATTTGTGATTTAACAGTCCCGTTGTTAATGAAAAGTTTCTAAATCATCTTCATGCACCGCCAGATAGTGATTAATAGCTTGTGATGGAATTTGATTAAAAGCCATTTTTTGTCAATTATGTCAAACCATCAATTTACGAGATATCAATATAATCATAGTTATTTTTTTTAAGATTGCTGGCATAAATTAACCTGTACATTAATTAATTTGTAAAGAGTCACTAATTATTCAAGAAAATATTCTAGCATGTTTGATCGTCGTGTTTCAGACATATTGGAAATCAGATAAGATGCATTTAAAATGTTTATCTATTAAATTTCTATATTTTCTCTGTCTCAGGTTCTGACCACCCTCGAACTGTGACGACACCATCACCTTCTGATGACGATGATGACGAAACCCAACATGGACAAAAAGCACCCCATAAAGATAACGGCGGCATTGTCATGGTTCCTTCAGTGTTAACCACTAGTGTCTTGTTGCTATTTGTTTTCTTCGTTACCAAGTAGATTTAAATGTCAGATTTAATCTTATCAGCAATACAATACCTAACAGTCTATCAAATTTATTTCAATATCAATTTTTGAGATTGTGAACCAAATATCTAGGCAATTTTCACAATCATAAAACTCCATCCTCAGGATTTTCTTATTGGTACAAAACCCTCGGTTTCTCGGTGCCTCGCGATCGGGTTTCATCCAATTTGAAAACCCTTTCAGTGATATTTCCTTATCCTTCACACCGGGCATAAAGGTGTTTTATAATCAATAACCTGAGAAGGATTCGAACCACGGGTCATTGGTCCTGAATGTTCGAAAATGAAAGAAGACAAAACGACAAACAGTAGCAACCCTTCACTACAAACATGGTGTCGTTTATCTACAAACTTGTGTATGTCGGTCTAAATAAGCTTGTACGTTACACTTCATTTGTGTTGTACTTTTATTGACCATGAAAATAAAAAATGTGATATACAGTGTTAAACGTATCTGTATCATAATGTGATGTAATATAATAACATGATACAATGTATATATGTTCCATAACGTCCAGTATCATCAAGTTTCAATTCATTAAAAAGAACATCATTATGACATTTATTTTCTTGTGGTGTTGTTTCTGAGTTTAAATGACACGTACTGTGAGGTAGGGTGTCCTTATCACAATGTCAACCATTCAGATTTTTTTGTGTCCGTTTATTTTTCTAATATAATACTGAAATTTAAAAGGTTACTTAAAGATTGTATGAGTGTATGGTTAGCTTAATCTCAAAATTCTTATTGCTTGAAGTTAAAGATTACGACAAATAGACCACTACACATAACGACATAGTAGTAAATCAAATAACTGTAAAAAGACAACAAACAAATTCGCAAAAGGCATGTCTTTCCTGTGATGTGTTCCATGACGTAGTCTGATACCTAGGTCTGGACAGATTCAGCCGATCAGCAGTTAGGAAGTGCAGTTGCATTATAGTAACGCAGTCTTCGAATATATATGATGGGTACTATACAACCATGACCAAATGTGAAGAAACCCTGATAACCTATTAGAATTAGGAGTGGCTGCAACATTATTCAATAATGACGCAGTTTCTATCCACCTTAGGACATATATCCTGGGTTTTATACAACCATAAAATAAATTTGAAGAAAACAAGAAAACCTGTGTATATTTTCCACAATCAACAACGTTTCAGAATTGAGGAAGTGCCCGAGACATGCTCGGATTGCTCACATTGCGATCATCTTAATTCTTAACTTTGCATTGTGACCTGCTGTCTAGTAGAACTGTCTATCAGCGAGGCTGCGATCTGTCGTCACTAGGAACTGTTATCAGTATAAATGATAGAAATTAATTGAAGGAAGGTTTTGTAATGATATCAGCCTCAGGAAATAGAAACATTTTATATTCGTATTCAAGAACCATTGCATCTGGTTGTAAACGAACGATGTTGTCACTCGGTTCACACAACTTTATAAAGAACCACACTTCTCCTAATTTCTGTTCACTGAGTGAGGTTTACTTGACAAGGTTTTTGACACACCATCCATTATTTCAGAATAAATACTACAGACGATTTCGAGGACGATGCTAGAAAATAGACGAAACGAGAAGAAATTCAGGTAGATTTCAATTAGGCATATAACAACAGTCTCCGTTTATTGGACAATGTTGGTAATCCTTTGTATCCATCTTCATATTCCAGAGCCGAAATATTGAACATGCATGTATGGGAATCATACGTGTTTACCACAATAAAAGACGGACTTTAGACAATATGACAATAATGGTCACCTTACTATCAATCTCTAGGACAAATGTTTGTTATGGAGCATCATTAGAACCAAGGATTCAACCATTAAAAGGATATAGTGACATCAGACTACCCTTAGACAATGTCCGTCAATGTCTGGCTTTATAGAAGACTTATTCAGTTTCTTGTTTAATTGTTGACTTACATTTTTTTCTGATTTGACGAGATACAGTTTTGCATCCGTCTTCAGCTCACCTTCAGCTCACCTGTCGGTAAGAGGTCAAGCGAGTATCTCGTGAAGCGACTTTGTAGACGTGGAAGGTAAGTTTACCCCGAAGGAGAAGGAGTGACCTATCAAGTGAATAATGAAATATAATTAAAAATCTTTACATTCAGAACGAGTAATTTAATTTTGATAAAGTTTGGTTAAGATTTGGCTCGAAAGGGACTAAACGTTGCATAAACGGAGGGTGTGTCCCCGTTGGGACGAAAATGCTGGGCAAAGAAAATATGAATTTATGATATCATGATAGCATGCATCTGTTTGTCAAGTTATAACGATCTCGCCAAATTTCAAAATTTAAAGCTTAGACATGGAACAATTTCCTATTCATATTTAATTACCACTGCATCTGGTATTTAGTTATAAATGGACGCTGTAGCCACTCAAATAAACTTTTACAAATATATTCATGCTATAAAGATTTGCCTACGAGTCTGGATGCGCCCACCAGTCTTACAGATTGTAGTCTGTGAGTCATGAACTGGAAACAGTCAAAATTCCTACTTGAATTGATGAACACAGCCACGAATCAGGATTGACCACGAGAGTCTGGCGCTGCTAATATAGGGACTAGGTTACTAGGTGATAACATGGACTCCGTTAACTAACAGACATAAACAAGTTTTGATCGCACCCTATTTTTTCTACGAAGCTTCATAGGTCCTAGGCTAGGTACCTTAGAATATGTGTTTCGCAAAAAAAAAAAAAAAAACAGTAGTGGACCTCCTTGCATAACACCACGTTGAGTGACGGGGATATCCACATAAATTGACAGATAAATGTCACAGGCGAATGTAATTTTGAAAAAAGAATTATGATAGTGAATAGTGTATAAAATAACAGTTATTTTGGTACTAAATATGTCATATTGGTATACATGAAGTAAGCGTAGTGATACTTTAAATTAGAAAAACATGCAAAATATTCACAAAATTTAAAATGTAACCACCATTGTGAACTTACCTATATATAGTCACAATGTTAGTCTATATTCTAAACTTCTTTAAAAACTTTCCATATATATATTCTGTCTACAGAATCATTTTTATGTAATATCAAAACCGCTAAAATACTTTTTTAGCATGCCAAACATGACAAATGTCCAATTTCATATAATCATTATGATATGATTTTCATTGTTTATATGGTACATACCGATACATTTTCTGTTTTTGTAATCATACTAAAACACTTCAAAACAGTATGTTTGTTTTTAAATTATTTGGAGCAGTGATTACTCATAAATATGTATTCTGTCAAAGTAATGTAACCTCTGTTATAACAATCAAATAATCTTAATACTAAAACTATTATACACTTTATTAATATTTTATTTTGCCTATTGCCCATTCATTAAACAAAATATGAAGTAATATTACATTATTTTATACCTTTAAATGTTAACAAATAAAGCAAGGAAAGATATCATTGTCAGACTCCCCATACAAAAATGTTATTTTAGCACATTTGATTTTTGTTACCTTAAACGAAGGCAACGTTCACATGAACTTGCCAGATATCAAGACTCATGGACCTTTTGTTAAGAAGAAACACAAATTAAAGGAAAAGTGGAAAAAAAAGCTATGTTTTTCTTTTTTAAAATCAAAAGTGTCATATGACAAATTTACCGGTTGTCATTTTTTGAAATTCCTGATGTTGAAAGATATTATTAGTAGCCAACTTTTAAGCAAGTATGAAAAATAGACTCGTTTAAGAACTATTCAAATTAACGTGTCCAAAATGGGAATTGTCTTGTTAGTAATTAGTGTTTCCTATACACATACCTTTTTGTATTTATCTTGTTTTGAAATTCTAAGCGGAGGCCGACCCTAATGTTAAATCTCCATAGGCGTTGACCCTACCTTTGTTATGAAGCATATGTGACCAAGGAATCAAATGTAATAAAGGAAGGCTGTTATTTACTTGTATGCTCAGATGTGGTGCTCAAAATGGTGGTAAGCGATTTTTGTAGTACGATGTTCTGCAAAACTATTAGTTGTAGAAATCTGTGCAGTTATAAGAATGAGCAAATTGGTGCGAAAGTGTGCGCTGTTAAAACAAACAAAAATATATCGTGGAAGAGAATATTAAGAATTTTTTTCTCATGATATTTTTTCATAATTTCCTGTCAAACGCTTTTCGAGATATGACAATTATATCTCAGAACTATCTTTTTAAATATAAATCGCCTGCCACGCGGCCTTTGACCTCTTATTTTTGTAATGGTTCATGATGTCCTTGTGTTGATGTCTCCAATATCAATTATTTTTCGAAGATTTTGATTTTTCTTTTAGTTTTTTATTTAAAGTTCTTCTGGTATCGTATAAGTGTGCATGATACAATAGTTTTACATATATATGAACATTGGACACCACTAGACCATTGAGAACTGTTGACGGTAGAACTTTATCATATGTAAATGCGTTAACATTTTTGCAGATTTGAAAAACATCTTATTTAAAATTTGAAATAAGATGTTTATTAAATTTGCAAAAGTGTTAACGCATTTCTTTTTACAAATGTCCAAATTCATTCGAGAAAGTAGGACTGGTCTGAATTAAGAAAAAAAAAGTTATCTGCTTCCAAAAAAAGGCGGGGGACTATACACACAGTATATATCTCCCCTTTTCAAGACAGATACATGAGGTTAATTTTCATGCAAATCGGAGGGGGTGAGGTTACCACCCGAAATATAGTCTATAGTCATTATCGGCGGAACATGTGGCCATGAACCCCCTTCAGGAGCCCCGTGATATCCGACACCGCGAGCTGGCACGTCATCAGACTGATTTCCGCAGCTGTAATGTTTATGGATGTTGCGATGGTGAGTCTTTGTATTATGCTGTGTTAGTGAGAAAATAAGATTACTTGTGAGCAATATATGTATACTCCATCTTGGTGCACGTGCACTAGTCCGTGTATGTAGAATAGTAGATACGTGGCTGCACACGTGGAATTAGTCATATTTATCTACATTTTGTATGTGTCTGTTGTCTTGACCCTAGTCCACTAAACTTCCGAGTGGTCGTCTCTTTGGCCGAGGTCAGTTCGGTAGTAGCCCATATGCTCAAAATTATATTTTGCCGAGACATAATCAGATAATGTGAACCCAACAAGAAAAGCCATAACCACTACATTGTGATAGGTAGTTTGAGCACTAGCTTGACATCACATCAAATAGGCACTAACGCAGTCAGTCAACACACCTATGATTAGGTATGTGTATTGACAAACGAAGATACTGCCTGGGATGACCTTTTAGGATTTTTGGGGCCTCTAACACTAATTGGTAATTATATTGGCTGATTAGGGTCACCAGACCATTCTGGCGAGCCTATGAAATAATGCTTCTTTAACTTTAATTTGCCTTTGAACAACTTCTGATTAAAATAGAAGCTGAGGGTCATGCTTTGGTGAAGTCATATCAAGTTTGTTCAAATTTATGCTACAAAGGTCATTGGGGTCAACAGTGTTTAAGTCTACAAACAACTCCTGAATTACCTGAAGAGCTACAAACAACTCCTGAATTACCTGAAGAGCTACAAACAACTCCTGAATTACCTGAAGAGCTACAAACAACTCCTGAATTACCTGAAGAGCTACAAACAACTCCTGAATTACCTGAAGAGCTACAAACAACTCCTGAATTACCTGAAGAGCTACAAACAACTCCTGAATTACCTGAAGAGCTACAAACAACTCCTGAATTACCTGAAGAGCTACAAACAACTCCTGAATTACCTGAAGAGCTACAAACAACTCCTGAATTACCTGAAGAGCTACAAACAACTCCTGAATTACCTGAAGAGCTACAAACAACTCCTGAATTACCTGAAGAGCTACAAACAACTCCTGAATTACCTGAAGAGCTACAAACAACTCCTGAATTACTTGAAGAGCTAGGATCATGGCATTTGGTCAGTAGTATGCTGTACAGAAATACTAGCTGGCAAGTGTGATCAAATGGATGACATTTTCATATGACTCAAATATGTAAACAAAGTTTTACACAATTCTCTTCTACTGGTCCCTTATTTCCAGAGAAGTAACATTTGGCCTATAGCCTGCTGATTCTACTGGTCCTTCATTTCCAGAGTAGTAGCATTTGGCCTGTAGCATGCTGATTCTACTGGTCCTTCATTTCCAGAGTAGTAACATTTGGCCTTTAGCCTGCTGATTCTACTGGTCCTTCATTTCCAGAGTAGTAACATTTGGCCTTTAGCCTGCTGGTTCTACTGGTCCTTCATTTCCAGAGTAGTAACATTTGGCCTTTAGCCTGCTGATTCTACTGGTCCTTCATTTCCAGAGTAGTAGCATTTGGCCTGTAGCATGCTGATTCTACTGGTCCTTCATTTCCAGAGTAGTAACATTTGGCCTATAGCCTGCTGGTTCTACTGGTCCTTCATTTCCAGAGTAGTAACATTTGGCCTATAGCCTGCTGGTTCTACTGGTCCTTCATTTCCAGAGTAACATTTTGCCTGTAGCCTGCTGATTCTACTGGTCCTTCATTTCCAGCGTAGTAACATTTGGCCTATAGCCTGCTGGTTCTACTGGTCCTTCATTTCCAGAGTAGTAACATTTGGCCTTTAGCCTGCTGATTCTACTGGTCCTTCATTTCCAGCGTAGTAACATTTGGCCTGTAGCCTGCTGATTCTACCGTTACTTCATTTCCAGTGTAGTAACATTTGGCCTGTAGCCTACTGAATTCAAATGAATTACCTTAGGTAACTTTTAAAGTCCCACACATGAAAAAGTCTATGGGTTGTCGAGTAATGATATTTAGCCCGTTAGCATGCTTGATATGTATGTTTAAATTAAATTATATTGAACAATATTAAGTTAATGTAGTAAGGTCATAGTGGTCAAATTAATCATGAGTTGAAAAACTAATGACTTAACAAAGACTGATAGCTAATTAATAGATAAGGACTTGGCAGTTATATACGTATAGCTAATTAAAGCTGTGTTAAAGACTTTGATGGATAAGGATTTGAAAAATAAAACACTTGACTAAGGTCTGGTAAAATCTCTTAGATTAATCTTTGATTAAGACAGTTGGAAAAGCTATCTCAGCTAAGGCTTGGGAAAACATACTTGGCCTAAACTTTGGCCAAGACTTTGGTACATCATACACTGCTATGTGTCTCTAGATACTTGTATGCTAGGGTAAGGTTCAGGAGAAGACTAGAGGCTTAGGCCCTGCAAAAACTGTTGGTTAAGGATTTGACAAATTCTCTTAGCTGGGTGCAACATGTTAAACTCCGATCAAACATGGTCACATTTGATCTGCTGTTGTCAACCATGGTAATCTATGGTCCACATAAGTCGGTAATTGGCTGTAAACTACACCAATGTAAAATTTGAGAAACAGCATGTGCAAATGTTTATTCAAATCTACATTATTTACTAACAAGCTGTTGCTAATTTTGTGTCTTGTTTGCAGGGATTTGAATAAAAGACTGATGCACAACAATGGAAGGATGGAAGCTGCTCATAGCATTTGGCTGGCTGGTTTCTACAAGTGAAGGTGATGATCCCAAAAACATTCTTATACTGGGAGGAAATGGATTTATTGGAGCTGCAACGTCCGAGAGATTGATTGCAAAAGGCAATAATCTGGTACTTCTAAATCGGGGCAACTGGTATTGGGATTCACAGTTCACTGTGAAGCCTCATGTTAAACACCTTACTTGTGATCGTCAACGTCAGCTACTCTATTGTGAAGATTTACACCGTTTGAAAGACACTGTATACTTTGATGTGGTTATAGATTTCAGTGCATACCATTTTGAGGCTGTTGAAGATGTTCTCGAGTTACTGAAAGGCAAGATTGGCAGATATATCTACATCAGTTCCGATTCTGTGTACGAGGTCTGCCAGAAAAACCATTCCGAACCAAGTCAGGAAAGTGATGCCGTTCGTCCATTTACTTCAGAGGAAAGGCTACTAATGACTGGTAAGGATGATTATGGTCATAGAAAACTGGAATGTGAGGAAGTGCTCGTCAAACAGAGAAAGGAAGGTGGAGTTCCATATGTTTTGCTAAGATTACCAGATGTGATTGGTCCTAGGGACAACACATATCGCTGGTGGATGTATCAAATGTGGCTTAAACTTTCCGGGTATCTTGAAAGACAAATCTCAATTCCAAAGTTTCTCTTGAATCAGAAATTAAGCTTTGTGTATTCTCTTGATGTCGCAGATATGTTGGTACAGCTTACTGATAGTGATCTCAAAAACTTTGATAATGCCTACAATCTGGGTACAGATGAAATGCCTACCTTACTGGAAGTGTTGGAATCAATGAGAAAACATCTGAGAGTAGAGAATATCCCTATACCTGTTAATGATAGTAATGATGCAATATATCTGTTTCCTTCTGTAAAACTTGGACCAATAGATTCAAGTAAAGCAAAAACACTATTAAACTGGAGACCAACCTCCTTCGATAATATTTCTAAGCAAACAATCAGTTTTTACGAGTCTGCCATCAGAAATAAAGATTTTGACTTGGCTCGAAAAGAAATTATCAAAAATATGCAAGCATACTTCACCAAGCAGCCACATAATGTGTTGTATGGTCTGAACGGAGTGTATGGGATAAAGTACCCAGATACACACGAAGAACTTTAGGTATATAGACTAGCTAGTGATAAATCCATCCTTATTTCATGCATCAAGATTTTCATTTTATGTTTTTAGAATAAATTATTCTAAAAGTTCTTTTTAGTATTTGTCTTCCATTATTCATAAACATCGATGTTTGATGATAGCTTTACATTTTGTCTAACAAATCAATGACATGTATAGGCAAAACACAGCAGTAAACTTCACTTCTGGTCCTTAAGTCTCGACTTCTAATGTCACGACTCGCGGTTAATTGTATCCTTGTCCTTCATATGATGTCTCTCATTTCATCTCCCCTTTGATAACCGTCAACACATTACAATGTACTCTTCTCCGGAGTTCATTCAAAGTTTTCACTTTATGTAAGAACCCTATCTTACCGAAACATTTTATTTAACAAGGGATTTATTATGCACAAATTCAACCAAAATACAGTAACACATGTTTTAACAAACACCAAGGATTATTGAGAAAACATTGCATTATTACCAACCCCAGAATAAGTTCACTATACTAAACATGTTTATGACAAACTCCAAGGTTTTTAAAAAAGAAAAAAATTGCACTCGAGGAAACCATGTTAATAACAAACCCAAATGAATCTAGGAAATGAGTTTACTGTAGTAAAATTTGTTTATAAAAAACCCAAAGGAACATAATAAACAAATAAAACATGTTTATAACAAACCCAAGGAATGCCGACTGAAAGCTAATGTTAACCAGTCCAAAGTTAGAACTGTTTGTTTTCAAACACCTAATTATGAGTAATGCTTTGGATTTTCGGGATTCTTCAAATTTTCGGGATTGCTAAAATAAAGTTTGAAAGTTTACATGCATGACCTTGAGAATGTGATATTCAACATCATCAAATCTACAATTAAAGAACTACTATACAAAACTAGAACTTGTACAGGTCAGCAAGGGCCTCACCATGTGCCTTACCTTAATTTCCCATGGGCTATTTCTAGCAAGTGACCTTGACCATATTAACTTTTTATATCCCTATAGCATGTCTAAATATCAAAAGATTTGTCTTTAGGACTCTGGTAAGAATCGTACCGCCCCCACCATATGGTCTATTTTTAGTAACAATGACCTTGACAACTTTTTAAATCCCATCACATATTTACATATCACAGTGGTAAGCATTCCGAGATAATCTCCAGACACAAAAGCAATGATGGATGGACAGACAAACAGTCAGATGTGGGGCCCTCATCAAATTTAAATGAAAACGCAACACAATGTATATGTAACAATAAAATATTTTACTGAATACTGGCAGCGTTTGCCTACATATAATACAATTTGATCTACTGTTATAGATATCCCATGAGCTCTCTCCCATCCGTGCTACTGATAAACCATAAATCTAGACACTGTTCCGAGTAATAATGGTAGCCACTTTAAAACACTGTTTTACCTTGCACTGGTACATTGTATACAATGGAACCTCGATAATCCAGACACTTTCTGTAAATAGTGGAAACCGTTGGTCTGAATACTTTGATATCTGTATATGGTGGAACCTCATTAGTCTGGAGACTTTTTTTCTCCGTGTACAGTGGAAACTTGTTACCTTGATACTGGTTTCCTTGATGTTGCAAGTAACAAACTTTCTAAATTAATGAATTCGTCACTTAAATGAATGTAATTTCAGAATTAAATGACAATTTCTGGTGAGATCCAAATTTTGTTTTTCCCCCAGTGAAAAGCAAATAAGTGTTTGTAAAGCAAGTCAAGATTTTTAATATACATTGATAAATAACTATATAGTTACAATGGATGATAAATTCAAACACAGTTTTTCAAACCAAACTAAATGACTTTAACAAAGTTCTTTTCAGTACAATGATCAAGTGTGTATCAATATACACCGTAAGTAGTCTTTTGAGTTTTGTGTGAGCAGTAATATTAAGAAAATACATAAACGACAAGATAAATATTGCAGACCACATTGTATCTTAATATAAATCTGACTCCAGTCTAACACAGACTGAAACGGACATCATTTCAGTGGCAGAGGTAAAATCTGAATCGACAAAAGGGACAGTGTCCTTCACAAAATTATTAATCCTTATTTTATACAGTACAATGTAAACGGAAATCAGTAGAGGTATCGGGTACGATGGCACAATTTCTATCTAAAGGAATTTTCACAAATACCAGAAAGTTAATAATATAGCTAAATGCTCTTCATTTAAATACTTGTTGTGTTCCAATATTTATACAGACACTTATAATTACCATTGTCCCATCAATTTTACATCTAAGTTACCGGTCACTGTGTTTGTTCACAAATAACAAACAAAATACGAACACATTTTTATTTCTAGTAAATTAGGATTTACTTCTACTTATAAATTATTGTTACAACTACCTGCATCATTTAACATCCTCACTATAATAGAAAACAGTGGGCAATGATTTGTAAATAAAACAATGGCATTGAGAGAACTTTACTGAACTTGCCATGATTATACATTATCACCATCTCATGTAAAGTTGACATGAAATGTCAGAAACGCTAGTAATGGTAATCTAAATCATTAACTTGTTAAAATTATGTGGGAAAAAAATCTGAATTTATAGTGAATATATGTTCTTTATCCACATGGGTCTAACAGCATTATTTGTTAGGACGACCATTAATATCTGAACAAGATATTCACAAATCTTTGAAACTTTATTCTGTGAAAATTCAAAAGTTTCAGCGTATGCAAAATAGAGAGAAGAAATATATGTAAAACCAAAGCTTTTTGATACTGAATAATCGTGAAAGAACAACTTTTTGTGATTCTGAGAAGCAAAACTCATTGAATAAGCATATTTACAGACTGGTAGCTAAGAGTAAGCTTTAGCCATCACTACTGACCGTGCGAACAGTTGGTGAAAAACCGACCCCACGACATAGGGACCAGTATGTGAGGTGTTCCCACTACTAATTTATATAATCAATTCACTAAATCTGAAAAAGACTTTACTTGTTACATATAGCTTGAAGCTTCAGCAGTAACAGACTTAAATTTTCAAAATTCAACCACAAATATGTCTATTTACAATAGTTTACTGTACATATCAAAAACTCCACCTTGTACTTCGTTCTGGTGCAGGTCCAGAGGTACAACTTCAGTTGATGCCTTGGCAAACTTTCATCCTCTTTTCACGAGACCAATCCACTTTAATGGTAAGACGGATCTTGTATTGAAAATTTGGGACATATGGTCAACAATTTAGACTTGTGTATTAATGAGACAAACTTAACTACTCTCATCTGTACTATAAGTCATGTTAAATAAAAGCGACAAATATCCATATAACGTCGCACAAAAACAACATTCTACAACAAGTGGGCAATAGAAAGAATAATTTGCAAACAATGAAACAACACTTTTGCTACAAACTGTGTACATAACCAATTGACAGCTGATAAGGTACTGAATATAGATATGTGCTTTCATTTTCTACAAAAAAAAAAAAAAAAATCAATTCATGAGCCAATTTTTTTTAATTCGATACATGTTATGACATTATTTTCAAAATCTGAAGTTAAATATTTGCATAAGATCTAAGACTTTATGATACAGACTTGGGGATAAAATAGCACATCAGAATCTGTCTTACTAAACATTAAATATTACAATGCATTCAAATACGCTATTAGCAAATATACAAATATGTAAAATGAAAAATTAAAATCTGTTGTTTACAATAAAATTGTGAAAAACGGTAAAATGTAAGATAAATATAGAAACCTGCATTACAACTTAACATAAAATATGTCAACCCTAGTCATATAAGTAGACATCAGAAAGTAGAGAAACGAATGTCTTTACCAACTTCAGCTTATCTATAACATCATCTATTATATCTCAGCTCTACAGCATATGCTATCACTTGGGAACCATTTGGCAATGCTGTTGCCTGGAAAAGGTTGCAAGCTGAGGGTTTTGTTGGAGCTTAACAAACACTACTAGAGATGCAGGCCTGAGGGCGTTCTTGGAGCTTAACAAACACTACTAGAGATGCAGGCCTGAGGGTGTTCTTGGAGCTTAACAAACAAGAGTTGCAGGCCTGAGGGTGTTCTTGCAGCTTAACAAACAAGAGATGCAGGCCTGAGGGTGTTCTTGGAGCTTAACAAACACTACTAGAGATGCAGGCCTGAGGGTGTTCTTAGAGCTTACAAACACTACTAGAGTTGCAGGCCTGAGGGTGTTCTTGGAGCTTAACAAACACTACTAGAGTTGCAGGCCTGAGGGCGTTCTTGGAGCTTGGAAAAGACTACTAGAGTATCTTTTGCATTTGGATCATTCCAAACTTTCCAAAAAACCCCTTTAACCCCTCCAGGAACGCTTAAAACTCCACTGGAACACTCTTCAACTCCTTTAAAAACATCTAACTCCTTTGGAAAATGGAAATACCTTTGTTTTTTTGGGAAACCCCTAAACCCTTCTGGAGACTCCCTGGGTGAGAGATTGGGTTAACCATCGTTCAGTAAGAGCATTCCTATATATATATTCCTGTATTATATCCTGTTCTGTACCACAGTTATTTCAACAGTTCTTTTCCACTACTTGCTTTAATTCAATAAACAAAGAAACAATTTTAAGATCTAGCAGTTTTACAAGATCCATACCTAGAGCGGTCAATATTATACAATATTTAGTATCACCACTTCTCTAGCTATAGACTCCCCTTACAACACACTTGGTACTACAATCACAAAACAGTAATCTAAACAGGCAGCAGATCTCCTTGTTACAGTAATTTCTGATTTTTGAAAAACTCCAGATTCTGCAGATTTAAAAATTATGCAGGTTGAATAATGGATGCATTTGTACAGGGTACTTTTTCTATCATTTTCATTCATTTCAATACTTACTATCACTTGCCATTTCACGCAATGTAACGGTGCCACATTTGGCTGAAGATTTGTGACTGAATTACCTACAGTGCAACTTTTACAGCTGCAGCAATAAGGTGACTTATCTTAAGGCAAGTAATTAAAAAGAACTCCGAATTCATTAAGCATATAAAGGCTAATAAAATATAGTTATCTTTGTCAGAAGTCCTGGTAGGAACAGGAGTGCTGGACTAGACCAATGCATATAACTCCAGCTTGTTGGGATGTAAACCCAGTCACCCCTAAAGTCACATTTTAACCTTACCAAATCAAAGACTGGGCAAGTCCAGTTTAGGTGTGTGGGAGTGAATGAGTTAATCCCATGTGTCTTGCATAAAAAAAGCTATATAGCATCAGCAAGCATAAACAGATATCTTGTTTTCAATTGGCTATAGCAAAACCTTCATAACAAAGAATCAATTTCTATATAAAGTTAATCTACATTTTCTTGTTTATATTGCCTCCTGTCAATGACAAACTCCTATTTTCTTCTATGTAGTATTACTTACGATATATATATATATATATATATATATATACCTTTGTTAGATAATATCCTGTCATCTATTCCTCACAGGACATCGGATTTACCCACATGCAGTAATGAATCAATCCAAGTCTTCGATCTGGAGTGATGAAATCTGATTTAAAGGGTAGCCGTTTTTCTTGTGATGGAAGAATTTAAATTTCCATGTAGAACAACATAAAATCAGGACATAAAATGACAAAACACAAGGTCAAAAATAAATGTTTTACAGATGCTATCTACGAGAATGGTTGGGATACACGTATCTTTAATAAAAGACACAGATTTTTTTTTCTGTCATTTTTTCCCCAAACAATTAATTTAGATTAACAGTACAGACATTAAAGCATATTGAAAAAGGAACAATTGAAATAAGAGGTACATCTGATTATAATACTCTTTATGATGCCATTTCCACATAATTTGAAGGGAGCATGCCACGTTGGCCTGTCCGTTCCACTGTGCCCTCCATCCATCCAGGATCAATGATTTCACAGTTGATGATGAAATCCTCCTCACGGAAAGAAACCTCATCATCGTCAGCTGCAGTGTAGTCATACAGGGCTACGTACTTCACCTGTGAGAACCAAAGTTAAATTTGTTCATTCCTTGCTACATGTATATATTAAAATGTCAATAACACTGATAGTTTCTTTCTCTCAATAAAGTATTTCATTTCAGGAATGTTCCGATATAAAATATAAAATGTATTTTAGACAGTAGGTCAAAATATGAGATGACTTCATCAATCTACAATCAGGATATCAAATGAAAACTTACTATACAGCTCTGATATTGTACAAGGACTTGTTTTTGCTGCATATACCTGGATACACCGCACATATCGGTAACCTTTCTGATAGAGATTTAGTTAGTTAGGACAAGTTTTGTTGTTGTTGTTGTTGTTGTTGTTGGGGGGGGGGGGATTTGACCCTACAAAATTTGAATAAGTATTTTTAGCTTTAGAAATATTACCTGGATGCTGATCCTTACCTGGTTCTTTGGAGACGACACTGGGGTCTGTATAATTTGAGTGCCTGTTGTGTAACCTACCTGGTTGTTAAGGTATTGACTAATGGGGTTTTCCTAGTAGGGTTGGTATGGCTACTGTGTCTGTTGTATAACTTATCTGGTTTATTGTGGAGCTCACTTGGGGTTGGTATGGCTACTGTCTATTGTATAACTTACCTGGTTTATTGTGGGGTTCACTTGGAGTTGGTATGGCTACTGTCTGTTGTATAACTTACCTGGTTTATTGTGGAGCTCACTTGGGGTTGGTATGGCTACTGTGTCTATTGTATAACTAACCTAGTTTATTGTGGGGATCACTTGGGGTTGGTATGGCTACTGTCTATTGTATAACTTACCTGGGTTATTGTGGGGCTCACTTGGGGTTGGTATTGCTGCTGTGTCTATTGTATAACTAACCTAGGTAATTGTGGGGCTCACTTGGGGTTGGTATTGCTACTGTGTCCATTGTATAACTAACCTAGTTAATTGTGGGGGTCACTTGGGGTTGGGATGGCTACTGTCTATTGTATAACTTACCTGGTTTATTTTGGGGTTCACTTGGAGTTGGTATGGCTACTGTATGTTGTATAACTTACCTGGTTTATTGTGGGGTTCTCTTGGGGTTGGTATGGCTACTGTGTATATTGTATAACTTACCTGGTTTATTGAGGGGTTCACTTGGGGTTGGTATGGCTACTGTGTCTATTGTATAACTAACCTAGTTAATTGTGGGGCTCACTTGGGGTTGGTATTGCTACTGTGTCTATTGTATAACTAACCTAGTTAATTGTGGGGTTCACTTGGGGTTGGTATGGCTACTGTATCTGTTGTATAACTAACCTAGTTAATTGTGGGGTTCACTTGGGGTTGGTATGGCTACTGTGTCTATTGTATAACTAACCTGGTTAATTGTGGGGCTCACTTGGGGTTGGTATGGCTACTGTATCTACTGTATAACTTACCTGGTTTACTGTGGGGCTCCCTTGGGGTTGGTATGGCTACTGTCTATTGTATAACTTACCTGGTTTATTGTGGGGTTCACTTGGAGTTGGTATGGCTACTGTGTCTGTTGTATAACTAACCTGGTTAATTGTGGGGCTCACTTGGGGTTGGTATTGCTAATGTGTATGTTGTATAACTTACCTGGTTTCTTTGGGGTTGACCCGGAGGCCGGTACGGCTGCTGCTGCTGCTGTTGTGGTGGTGGTGGTTGATATGCAGGTTGACGTGCTTGCTGGGGTTGAGCTATGGAAGACAACATAACAATAAACAAAGGCACATGTTACAGACAAGTTTTCCTGAAACCACGCGATATCCTTCCCTTGGCATTATGATACCAGGGCTCAACAATAAGCTGATTACTTTACCTTTTTGTGCAGTTTTTCTTGGTGAACATACCTCTGAAACACTGTAATACTTGTTTTCAGTTCAACAATGGAGGAAAAGCCCAAATGGCACATGCTATTGTAACTAATACATAAAATGCAATTATTGTGTGGTACTACAATCCTGAGTTCAAGTTTGATTTTCTATATACTACTACAGTGGACTTAAACTGATGATGATTTCACAATTTGACTGAATATGTGCAAGTGTTTAGTCAAAGGTAGATTACTACATGTACAGTATTTGAAGCACTGGAGACTACGTATGAGCTAGTGGTACGACACGGTCCAGACTCAAGTGCAGTTATATATACTATCAAATGCTAGGGAAAAGCAGATATACGGAAACAGTATAACACTACATGCAGTAAATAACCAACAAATTCAAATACTCTAACAAATGCAAAGGTCGTTTTACAATCTTGTAATGAAGCACTCAACCCAATCACCATTCACCTGAAACTAAAACTTGAAAACAAAAATGATGTCTACATAAAATTAAACAACATTATGATATCTAAACACATCTTTTCTACTTAATACTTAACCAACAAATAAAAGAATCTAAAAATACAGTAATAACTTGTTTACTCCAGCAATCATTACCACAGTATAAAGGTGGGCCTTGAAGAGAGCCTTGTGACACATAAAATGTGGGGCATTATATCATGGTTTTACTGGATAAACAAGATATCTACATTAACTTGTTATAATTTATCCTGGTAAATAGCTGTTAGATTCCTACAAAATGAAAACACAATATTTTGATTTTTTTTTTAATTTCCATCATGTATAACTGCAGGGAGCAAGGTTGGGAGGACAGGGGAGAGGAGAATATTGATGAAATTCATTGTACAGAATGCATTTTTTATTATCTGACATTTCTCCTGGTGTTTTATAAAATACTGACTTTGAGTTTACCACGTAGAGTGTACCCCAATTCCTGTAACTGTAGGTCAGTTTTATTAGACTTCATCACAAACTGTAATATTTCTTCCTAAGCCTTGAAGCAACTCAATTATTAAGTGATTTTCCATAAAAGAAATATTTCAATACTTTTTTAGTTCAGCTTTATACCATATGAGATAAACTTTATTTGAACTCTTTTATAGTAGGCTGGTAAAGGTAGTGCTGATTTGTAGTATGACTTCAACGGTGCTCTCTGCAGTAGGTGGGGGTATGAACAAAATCTGGAACTATAAACTGACGTCAGTGATGCTAATTGCAATGGTAAAATGAGATCTAGAGGATGATAGAGATGCTGCTCTCAAATCATATGCAGTGGTATAAAACTGAGGTATGGCATCAGTGGTGCTGATCTGCAGTGGTATAAAACTGAGGTATGACATCAGTGGTGCTGATCTGCAGTGGTTGGGGTATGGTGCTTCAGCTTCAATTTGAGATTAAGATTAACTCACAACCCCCTGTCAAGTCTTCAGATGGAATTGGTGGCGGGCAGTAATCCGGAGGGGTGTCATTGTCCTCAGTTGGAGGGGCAGGGGGGTCATATGCTGGGGGTCTATTGTCTTCCGAAGGAGGGGATGGAGGGGCACACACAGGTGTAACGGTGTGTGGGGAAGTCATCATCACAGGAGTGGCGAAATGAATTTCCATCTCTTTAATAAAATGTTGGCAACAAACATTGTTTATACCGTGCAACTTCAAATTATGGTATTTAAATTCCTCAATGGTGTAAATTTAAACTTGAACCAACCCTGTTATATCCATGTATCGCACAACTCATGGTTTTAAGTAGAGTGTGATGTATAAAATAAGCTGACTTCAACTGAAATGTCTCTCAATTTAATAAAGCGTCACTTTTTTCCATAAAATCTGTGTTACCCAGTAACAATGCAATTTACCAGCATAAATCTCTCAGTAAAGCTGAAAATCTATAGCATACTGAAACACCCAAACTGAAACTATACAAAGAAACCAATATACAGCTGGAACTGTTAAGAGAACAGTTACACATTTAGAACATTTGGGAGAAAGAGTAAATATATACTGGTTAATTAGGAAAAGACATTACAAGAAGCATATACACTTGATGGGTTATATTGATCAACTAAGGAGTGATAAAATTCATATCTTTATATTTTTAGGCAGAATCTAATGGTGTTTACAATACTGAACTTGCACTTTTCATACTAGAAATATATTATATCATGCCAAGATGAGTAGAAGGGCAAATGAGTATATCACGGATTGAATCTTAGTCCAGAAATATAGTTGTCATGACAGCTAACGGATACAATGATGAGTGGAGGTGGATAATATTTATAATGCAAGTTCAGAAGTTGGTGTAGGGGAGTAGACAGTCTTGCATATATATATATATCAGGGATCGACGAAGACAGCCTACTCACTAGGATCCTCTTCCTGAGCGCTAATTGCGTCTTTCTCAGCAGATACGTCAGCGCTGTCATCAGGGATGGGAGGGACAATGGGGGTAGTACTAACTTGTTCCTCCTTGACTGTGACAGGCGGGATGTTAGTGGTGGGTTCTTCTTCTAATTTAGAATCACAAGCACTTGTACACATGTATCATACAATAGTGGGGCTTACCCAATATGTGTAAGTAGGGTATATTACAGCTGTACGTGTGTGAGAAATATGTAAAATATATCAATAGATGTAAATTAATTCTAAGTATCTCCATTCAACTGAAAACGAAAATAGCATCAAATCTACATCTCTGTGCAAATGTTAAATTTAGTTACAGAAAAGAGAAGATAATATAGCAAATTCAGACCCAGATTAAATGTATTAATGATATTATGATGAATTAAATTGTTGAATTCTAGTGCATAGGTAAAACTTGATGTACCAGAAGGAATCAATCAGCCCCTCACTGGCTCAGTTTGTCAAAGAAATGCTGCAATGAGTGAAAGTTGTAATCAAATGTTCTTAATCACTGCAAATAGACATTGTCCGAGTTTCTGTACCGTACTGCTGAAATATATTGTGGACATAGGTTTTTTCATGAAAATGAATTATAGTTTAAACTGAAATATTTCACTGAAGGATGAATGTTTGATCAAAACATGATGTAAACAATTCCATCAGATTTTTATATGATCAGAAGCTTAAGTAATATCACATTTTGAAGAAATTCAGACAGCAATCTGATATATAGAGAAACCTGTAAAGATGGACATTGAACTGAATGATCTTGTGGTGTTTCTCCATCAAGATTGAGAATCTGTGACAAAGCAGTTTTCTTAAAGCAAAGAACTGAAACAGTTGAAACGCAATGATCATGGATATCATTGAAACCTATGTAAAGCATGTTTCTACACTAAAAAGCTTTCTAGCCTCGTATATTCCGTCTTTGCGTATTGCAGAGTTATCTTCTCTTGGGAGCAGGTATTGATTGTTACGTCGTTGGTTTGTGCGAGAAAATTACATCGTTTTCTCAAAAATTGATGACGTTACTCTCACAAACAAGTGACGTAACAATCAATACCTGCTCCAAAGAGAAGATAACTCTGCGATACGCAAAGACGGAATACAGAAAAGATGAGAAATGTATGTATTATAATTTTTCAACATCAATTGAAATGTTTGTAGAATTATTTTCCTTTAATATTTTCATCATTTTAAGAGAATATAAGTGAAGATTAACAATAACCTGACCTATACAACACAAGATGGAACGTTTCTTTTTACATAAGTGCATCAAAGCATTTCTCAACAAGGATAAAGTTCACTACAAATGTCCAGAAAATGTTCATTAATGATGGATAAAGCAAGCAGAAATCAAGCAAGATGGCTGGCTACAAAATAGGACAGATGGCTGGCTAAATAAACGGGACAGGTAAAAGACGGGCCCTTTTCATTCAGTGGTCAGTCATACGACTCATGAAGGAAGTTTTTTTTTCCGAAAATGATCAGGAGAATTGAACTTTTGAAGGATAGAGAAGATGTTGACAACTGACACATTCAAAGCTCACTATAAATTGATATACATGTGCTATAATGGTGTTAAGATTTCACTACAACTATTGTCCACACTAGCAGGTGTTATGAGAGTTAAAGCAGAAAATCACTTCCGAGTTCTCCAGCAGAATTTCACTTCAGCATTGTATGGCAGAACTTATGTTAAAGCATAAGTCAAGTGAGTTTTTATCAACAATCTTGAGAAGGAAACAATTTCACTTTTAAATATTCACAGCAAGCTTTACATGAAGTTTACATAAAGCATGAAGTTTGAAGGCCCTTGTGGAAGTGGAGAAGAATTGGGCTGAAATCAGTGGTCAGTGGAAAGCAAGTACAACTGCAATGGTAAACCAACTTACCGTCCATATGGGGAGGGGGTACCTCAACAGGGTTGTATTGAGGGACAGGGTCTTCCTGTTGTGGTGGTGGTGGTGGTGGTGGTTGTTGTGCTTGTGCTTGTTGTTGATAGCCTGACAATGTTGGAGCAGTTTTGATATATTCTGTATTTCTCATATTAACACCTTGGGTCTCAATGAATATGACTTTTAGAGGGGCTGATAATTCACCAGATCTGATTATAATGTTGAGGGATTGATAAATAATTTCAATTAAATATTTTAACTTTGTAGCTGTATATAAATTAATCCATTGAAGTGGTACATAATATGATGAAATTTGCTTCGTTTTACTAAATTATTGTGCATTCTTTAGATTGATAAATATTATGTCTTCTTAATTCAATTAAATGTGTCTTGTCATACTTCCTGTTAATGGAATTTGTAATGATGAAAATTTGACAGACAGGTACATGTACCATGATGTAAAGACCCCAAAATGAATGTTGAATTGAACTGAAACATCATCTGTATTCAGGGAGGAAAACATAGCACTGTATATTACCATATAGACTTGCCATTAGCAGATACACTGTCAAATATATTAGTGTATTATGCAAAATAAGCATTAAAATGCTAATTAGACAGATTAGGATTATCCTTCTGATCTCTCAAAATGGAGAATATTGTAGTTAGTCCAGTCTCCAAGTTAAAGATTATCTTGTGTAGATGGGTATAAACACTTGTAATGAAATGTATCCAATTGCAAAACAATACCTTTGAATTTTACATGTTTACATTTCTGTTTCTGTTGGGGATAAAGGTTAAAGCTGCTCTTCAGAATCTCTGTGACCACAATGGGATATAACACACAACAAACTTGTAACTTTACAGATGTACATCAACATTACCACTGAGTATCATCCTATGGCCCTAACAGCTGTGATACCTCATGTGTTCACTGGTGAACAATATCTATTTTTTAATCATCAAATTTACAACATTTTCCTGATGAAATGTAAAATTTGTTATAATGTAAAGTGTTGCAAAGAACTGATTTCAGTGATTATTGCATTTGTGCAGAAAATTCTATTTCCTCTTGCTTTCTGAATGTCTCTGTTCAGTGGTTTGTCTAATGTTAGGTCCAGCCAACATTTCACTTGGCAGTTAATATATTTATGCATGTATAAGAACCAGCATCCCTACATGTATATCCTGACCAAACAGCAATTAATCATTTATCAACTACCTATTTGTATTTAACATATGACTAGTGATCTAATATTGTGACTGGCCAGTCTAGCAATGACCTATTTTATGACTGGAGAGTCTAGCAATGACCTATTTTATGACTAGTTAGTATAGCCACGACCTATTTTATGATTGGCGAGTCTAGCCACGACCTATTTTATGACTGGAGAGTCTAGCAATAACCTATTTTATGACTGGCGAGTCTAGCCACGACCTATTTTATGACTGGCGAGTCTAGCCACGACCTATTTTATAACTGGCGAGTCTATCAATGACCTATTTCATGACTGGCGAGTCTAGCCACGACCTATTTTATGACTGGCGAGTCTAGCCACGACCTATTTTATGACTGGCGAGTCTAGCAATGACCTATTTTATGACTGGCGAGTCTAGCCACGACCTATTTTATGACTGGCGAGTCTAGCCACGACCTATTCTATGACTGGCGTGTTTAACACCGACCTGTCTTATGACTGGCGTGTCTAAAACTGACCTGTCTTATGACTGGCGTGTCTAACACTGACCTGTCTTATAAATGGTGTGTCTAGCAATGACCCTCTTTATGACTAGTGGTCTTGCAACAACCTATATTATGACAAGTGGTCTCGCAATTATCTCTAGGTTATCTAATTTCACACACACATGAATCCTAATTAAATACCATATTACTACTAAATGGAAGACTACCTGTCCTCATAATCATCAGGAATTCAAACAAAATTATCAGCAAAATCTTTACTATAAGCAGGCATGGAAGTATATATGCCAAGATAATTCTACTGTTCTGTTCATATCTAAGAGACCGATATTTCAAACTGACGATTTTTCTCGCCTATACTTTCTGAAATTAAACAGTTATATTAGTCAAAGACCATGCATTCACACAGGGTTGCTTGTTTTTTCATTCATTAGAAATCTGTTTTTTAGTTGAATATCACATCAATTGATCATGGGTTTTAGTTTATTATGGTATGATCAGTGATCCTGGTTTTACGGCATATATATACAGATGTTTGAATTTAAATATAATACATCAGATTATCCTGGTTTTCACTTAACCCTTTCGCCACTGTGGACCATAATGAACTCATTCAGATCAATGTGTGGCAGAGTTTACTAAAGCTACATAGGGGTGAAAGAGTTAAATATCAAACATTATCTGATCCTGTATTTTAGTTGCTTTTTTAGTACTATACATCAAGAGTTTTATTTTGTCATTCACTCAGAATGAAGGACCATGATCTGGTACAAGACCAGACTGATTATCAGTGGTTTAATTTTGTCAAGACATACCATGCTATTTGAGAACTGAGTATACAGATCATCCAGATGTCTGAGAAGACAGCGCAAATTGATAGAAATGAAACATCACCAAAGTTGGAGAAATTGGGGATATACTTTAGGCTGACAAAGAATTTTTCAGGAAAGGAAAGAATGTTTTAGTCAAAGGAAGGTTGTTCATAGCAAGATACAATTTCCAAGGCTTTAGGAAAATTTCACTGATGAGGCACTATTTCAAGCTTAAGGAGTAAGTTTTGGGCAATTTTGATGGAGATATTATTGAAAGACCAAATTCGAAGGTAGAATGACTACTTCAAGGTCAATCAACAAAATTGGGATAAAAAAAATCAAAGTTGATAATAACGGACTATGGACAATTAAGGGACTTCTCTGTTCAGGTGTAATTGGATGTCTTGTCAAGACTTACCAGAGTATTGCCCAGCAATGGAGCCATATTTCTCATTTACAGGATCGTAATCAGAAATTGAGCCAACTTTTCTGCCTTGTGATCCATTTTGAACTGTAAACAAAAATAACCAAACCATAATTCCTACAGTCCTAATTACAAAAAAAAAAGAAGAAAAAGTTTGCTTGGTTGGGGGGTAAAATCTGAAAGAAATGCTTCAATTCAAAGAAAATTCGTGCTTTTAAAAGAATACAGTAGACATTCACACACAACACTTTCAAAAGAATAAATTTTGCTACAGTAGACATTCACAAACAAACCACATACAACTGACATACAACCAGAATTGCTGATAATATTACTCTATCACTAGTGTTCTTCTATGGTAATGGACTGAATGGAGCTTGTTTGTATTTTACATGTCATTCTCATTCTCTCAAGCATAGTTATCTACTAAGATGATTTGTAAAGCACACATCACAACTTTTTTTCATGGGAAATGTATCCTAGTAAACTCTGGCATAAAGTACCATATCAAGAAGAACCCTGTTTAGGTCGTTTGGTCAATCAATAAGATAAACTGGGTTTGGATACATCTGAATAAAAAGGTACTAAAATACATTGCGAAATGGCCAAAAATGGATTGCTATGAGGTAATTTTGAATGATCAGCAACTGTTATAATAAATCTGACTATTTCGATGTTGCCTACGAGATTTGAAAAAGGGAGAGAACTCTGAATATACAGTGCTGGCTATATACAAACAGACCTATACAATATCAAGACATATATAGCATACATAATAGACATAGCCATATATCATACAGACAGAACATTTAAGCAGAAACACATTCAATATATCTTTAAACGAAAGCAAGAATATATCTTAGAACATTAGCTGTTGACAGAGAATTGAATAAAGAGTATAGTAAGTATGCCACTCAACGCAATCTTGTTTACAACAGCAGTTGAAGAGGTTATGCAGATAAACATTTGAGCATGCATGCATTTGATTCTGGTTGACCATGACCTAACACTACTGTAACATTTTCTGAATAAAACATACAAGACTTAACACTGAAAAAATAAACATATCTTATGAAAGGTTATCAGAAAACCTGTCTATTCTCTATTTAACAAGCATCAGCACTTTTATTAAATAGAATTTTTTTATCTTTAAGATTATTGACTCAATAATTCCCGATTACCTAGAATTTACCAATTAACCTATTTAGGCTTTATTTCTATGATCCATATATACTTATAAAACAATTTTTTGAAACTGAAATTGGATACATATTTTTTTCCTCAACTAGGATTCCAATTGATACACATACAACATGTAGCATAGTAACATGTAGTATAGTAGCATGTAGTATAGTAACATGTAGCATAGTAGCATGTAGTATAGTAACATGTTAGTATAGTAACATGTAGGTATAGTGACATGTAGTATAGTAACATGTCGCACAGTAGCATGTGGTATAGTAACATGGAGCATAGTAGCATGTAGTATAGAAACATGTAGGTATAGTAACATGTAGTATATTAGCATGTAGTATAGTAACATGAAGCATAGTAGCATGTAGTATAGAAACATGTAGGTATAGTAACATGTAGAATAGTAACATGTAGTATAGTAGCATGTAGCATAGTAACATGTAGTATAGCAGCATGTAGTATAGTAACATGTTGGTATAGTAACATGTCGGTATAGTAACATGTAGTATAGCAGCATGTAGTATAGTAACATGTACGTATAGTAACATGTAGGTATAGTAGCATGTAGTATAGTAACATGTTGGTATAGTAACATGTAGGTATAGTAACATGTAGTATAGTAGCATGTAGTATAGTAACATGTTGGTATAGTAACATGTAGGTATAGTAACATGTAGTATAAAACATTCCAGGAAATAATTCAATTATTAAATATTTTCTTTTTGCTGTAAAAAAATTAATGTAATGTCATGTACTTTGTCTTAATTTCTACAGACCACAATGGACCGTTCCACAGTAGGGGATGGAAGGTTCCACTTGTGATACATAGTGTTTGAAGAGGTAATAAAGTATACCATATAAAATACAATCAGCATATGTTTGTACAATTGAAAACAAGGCGCTCAATTTAAGTTGTGTCAATAAGTTATAATAAGTATATAATTTGATGTCAGTGCTGAGTAGATATAGATGTATATATCAGGTTACATAAAAACAAAGTCTTTAGTATCAATGTGATATTTGTAAATAATTCATAATATAAGCTAATAGATATTGTTAAATGAATTATGTTGTGTTACTTTTCCAGTGAATTTAGTGGAATTCATTAATATACGATATATCGGTACATCATATTCTTTTCACCAAGCATGTAAATTAAATCAGTATTTACAACATTGACTCAAAACCTTGGTATCCCCTAACATACATCCACTACACTAAATTATATAGCAATCAAAGTCTCCCCCCTAACATACATCCACTACACTAAATCATATAGCAATCAAAGTCTCCTGTTTTGTGTGTTCTATTGAACCCAAACAATCTGTCTATCTACCAACTTTTCTCATTTTGAACCTTGCCATGCTAGCCTGTCCAGGAGTAATGGGTCCCATCACCTTGTCTTCAGCCTAAACCATTTGTATTACACAATCATCTGCATAATTGTTCATAAATCAATAAAGAAAAGTATGTTCATGCAATTCATACTATCTTATCAACTGCAAATTTACTCATTATTTAAGAAAAAAAATGTATTCATGCAAATTAACTATCTTATACCTGTTGGTAAGGCTACCTATTCATGCTATTGAAATAACTGCACATCCAAACAAATACCACCTTTTTCAGATAGAGTTACCTCCCCTCATGTATCTACACTACTTGGTAGAATTTATAACACTGTACAACAGACAACAATACATCACAACAAACACTGGATGACTATCCATTACTGCTCTATTACACAACGGATATATCAGATTCTACTCTTGTGAATTTCATGATTTATTTTACCCATTACTACACAAAACCATATTTGTGAAGACCAGAAATAAAGATGAAACACTGACTTCCATATTTTGACCTTCATTCCCTATGAAAAATGTGAACGTTGATGCAAAATTCTGATTAAATGGTAGTCATTACATTAACAATAGCATGTATAAAGCAAATAAGCATTGCATTTTTGATCTATTTTCATTTGAAATTCGTTTGATATTTTTTATCCCGAGTGCCAAGGTAATTTTCATTGTACAAGTTGAGCATTTTTGTTCTTCATCGAAAATGACAAAACATTCTTTCAAAAATGTATCAGAATTTTGCATTAATGAATATGAAATAAATGAAACTGGAAAAAATGGAGTAAAGAAAAACAGCAGATTTGCCAAGATGAGAGTTAAAGCATATAGGTCAGTAGCTGATCTGTATCCCCTTTACTTACTGCTACTGGATGATCCTGTGGAGTAGCGCTGGTGAGAATCTGAGGTTACGATAAAAATGAAGCATCTCTTGGTTAGAACATGACAGTACGACATGCAAATCTGTCATATAACTATGACACACTTTTCTAACAAGCTCAGCTCTATAGAAATGCACGGTCCTGTTTCATACACTCATAATATGCAATACTTACCATAACATCACAAATCTAAGTAGGATTACCATGCCAAGTCTTATCAGATTGTCACTCCCCAGCCTCAATTTTCCTATCATATTTATTGAATGACCCCTCTCCAGCCTCAATTGTCCTCTCATCTTTATTGAATGACCACTCTCCAGCCTCAATTTCCCTCTCATCTTTATTTGTGACCCATCCCCAGCCTCAATTGTCCTCTCATCTTTATTGAATGACCCCTCTCCAGCCTCAATTTTCCTCTCATCTTTATCAAATGACCACTCTCCAGCCTCAATTGCCCTCTCATCTTTATTGAATGACCCCTCTCCAGCCTTAATTTTCCTCTCATCTTTATCAAATGACCACTCTCTTGCCTCAATTGTCCTCTCATCTTTATTGAATGCCCCCTCTCCAGCCTCAATTTTCCTCTCATCTTTATTGAATGACCCCTCCCCAGCCTCAATTGTCCTCTCATCTTTATTGAATGACCCCTTTCCGGCCTCAATTTTCCTCTCATCTTTATTGAATGACCCCTTTCAGGCCTCAATTGTCCTCTAATCTTTATAGAATGAACCTTCCCTAGTCTCAATTTTCCTCTCATCTTTATTGAATGACCCCTCTCCAGCCTCAATTTTCCTCATCTTTATTGAATGCCCCCTTTCCAGCCTCAATTTTTCCTCATCTTTAGTGAATGACCCCTCTCTAGCCTCAATTTTCCTCTCATCTTTATTGAATGACCCCTCTCCAGCCTCAATTTTCCTCATTTTTATTGAATGATCCCTCTCCAGCCTCAATTTTCCTCTCATCTTTATTGAATGATCCCCCCCCCGCCTCAATTTTCCTCTCATCTTTATTGAATGACCCCTCCCTAGTCTCAATTGTCCTCTCATGTTTATTGAATGACCACTCTCCAGCCTCAATTTTCCTCTCATCTTTATTTGTGACCCCTCCCCAGCCTCAATTGACCTCTCATCTTCATTGAATGACCCCTCCCCAGCCTCAACTGTCCTCTCATCTTTATCAAATGACCACTCCCTAGCCTCAATTTTCCACTCATCTCTATCAAATGACCCCTCACTAGCCTCAATTTTCCACTCATCTCTATCAAATGACCCCTCCCTAGCCTCAATTTTCCACTCATCTCTATCAAATGACCCCTCACTAGCCTCAATTTTTCACTCATCTCTATCAAATGACACCCCCTAGCCTTAATTATTCTGTCATTTTTATCAAGTGACCTCTCTCTGGCATCAATTTTCCTTTGAATTTGATCTCCTGTAAACTAGCTATACTTGTTATAAACTTGACTGATTTTGAGACTACCAATGCATGGGCACAATATAAGTGCAAGGTCATTGCACAGGTATTGTGAAAAAAGTCAAAGTTTTGCCCTTTACTGTAGAATGTTTTTGCCCAGTGTTAAATTTGCCCTTCAAATGTTTATTTTCACTGTTGTCATAAACTTGCCCTCATTATGGAGGATGAAAAAGGCAAAAATTTAAACTGTCGTGCGAAAACTTCCCATAAAATGAAGAGGAGTGATTTGCATATTTACATCTCTAAGGTAGGTAGAAGGGGTGTCAATTCAGCAAATTTAGATGTAAATCAGAAAGTAGATATCCAGTTATACATGTATATACTTAAAAGCCTTATCTTACATCAATATGTTCATGTTGATTTATTGAACACAAAATTACCGATATTTCCACGGCCCAAACCTGTCCAATTTTACAGTAGCTATAAGTGTTGACAGTACCTCATGTCTTAAATGACATCAACATTTGCAATGCATGCCAGACACTTCCTATCAAGCCATTGCATTGATAGCTATACAATGTACATTGTAAGTGAACTACTCTGTGCCAATTGTAAGTAGAGTCGGACATCTCTCCAGCCAAACATCTAGCTAATCACAGCTTGTCAAACACTACATGTATCTATAAATAACAGCAATGTGTCTCCAAAACAAGGTATGTTTATATCTCTACACCTCAGTGTTTTCTACTGAAATATTGAAATGAACAGGCATTCCAGTAGTAGAAAAAATTCACATCGGACAACCAACATTTTTTTTAGTAAAAACTGTACAAACAAAAGTTTGAAAATGGCTAGTTGTATGCAGTAAAGGTTCAATTTTCTGGGAATGACGATTCTAGATAATCCCCTTTTCAATTACATTTAAATGACCTATTTTCCCCTGGAATTAGGTTACCCACACCCAAGGTCCCTCAGAAATGTAGGTTCACTATCAACTGAAGTTTTTGCAGTGTATGGTATCAATCAACATAATAAACTCTGCAGACTCATAAAACCAAACGGAATAAAACAAGTTCAATCAAACAAAGGGAAGACCAAATTGGAAAATAACCTTCAGGCATGGAACAAATAAAGGAAAGGAATTTTGTGGAGATGGCTGGTTAATGAATAAAAAATAACAATAGGCGCAGACCAACTGAAGTAGGTCCAGCCTAAAAATGATACGAAATAAATTCTAAACAGAAACAGAGCAGAAGAATAAACACCTCAAAGTACAAGGAAGAAAACAGAAAGATTATTCCCCCTAAGTCGAATACCCCACATTAAGGGTCAGAACTTTAAGACACTGATCAGAAAGGGTCTTGGTATATTAATAGGGAATTAAACCTTTATCTGGTTGAAAAGCAGTGAGGATCAGCACAAAACAACTCACAGAGTGGGTCTTACCTACTGGCAGTCTCACGATGGACTACCTGTTTACTGTGTCAGTGTGTTAATACCGACAGAGTAGCCATGCTGGAATTGTAATCGCCAACAAGTCCATTAAACTCGCACAAACCAAGGGCAGACTACTCACCAACCCGAGAGCTTGAAGGTTGCCATACAGCGTAGGCGGGGGATTGGCCCCCTTGTTGCTGGGGGGCCCTGTTCCCCAGGTTATGAGGGTTACCCCCCTGGTAGGCCATTGGATTCTCATACACTAAATAAGATGTAGTTACTTAATGACTCTAGCTAGAGAACCACATCTACAAGATACTCAAACAATACATTCTGGTTTCTGAAACATTCTTTTTCACCACTCAGAATGTTCTTTCTCAAAATTAGGAATGAAATTTGTGATTTAATAACAAACACAGTAATACAGAAATGTTTAAATGTGAGAATGATAAATCAATTACAGAACAGAAATCTTGAGTACTCGAGACACACGAAGATAAAGAATATCTCAGTAAAGCATGTTCTAAAAGATAAGAAATCTCATAAAATCAGAGCTATCATATATATTTATTGAAATCTGCGTAAACCTACATAAGTTATCTATGGCTGACAAGATTGTAAACAATTAGGCAATTCATTTTCTGTTTGACTTTTAACTTTTAATATAGGACTGTTACTGGTGTGAAAGGGTCATACTGACATCTATTTATACTTTTCCAGGTATAGCCATAAAACAGGATGACTTATGACAGAGAAGAAATGTAACATGGGAGATAACTCACCTACTCCAGTCCGAGAGTCATACACGGCAGTACCCTGTGACTGGCGTTGGGAGTACGGTGTTCCCCCCTTATTGGCTTTCGGGTCGTAGTCACTAATACTGCCGGGCTGGCGTGCACGTGGTTCATAGTCACCAGTACTGCCGGGACGACGTCTATGCTGATTGGCTACAAAAATGCAAGGAAAGCATTTGGGGGGTCATGCAAAGGGTAGAAACATAAAATGTTAGCATAAAGCCATACATATGGATGTTTTCAGCAAAGTTAACAGCTCACTATAGATCTGGGAGATTTATTTTGTATTTTAATATCTGTCAGATGAAACCCAGTGTTGGGTTTATGATGAAGAAATGATATACTTATTTTGAAATAAGTAAATTAAAATACTGGTACAGATTTAAATCTTAATCAACATTAAAAGAAGATCAAGGTGTCAGAAATGTTAAAATGATGTCCAGATCTATAGCCAATGGGATTTCAAGTAAGTATATATGCATAATTCTCTTGAAACACTGATTATTAATCTTTTTTTTTGTACATGTAATTTTGTGGTTCATTTATTCACAGGAGTAAATCATTGCAAATGAGATTACTTTAGCGAGTTATTTGTTTTCAGTGCATAAACTTGACACTTTCACCATAACTAACACATACTCGGAAAAGAAAACAATACATAAGGGACAGGGGTTGGTCAAGGCCGATGTGATTACTGTTTTCTTTTGTGCAATATATACATTTAGATGCTTTGCATTCCAAATACAGTAAATGAAATGAGCAGGACATTGAACTTCAAAAGCGGACATTATACATCTAACTATCATGCCGGTGTACATTTCCACCATGACAGTGCTTGGATACTTCATCTTCATGCACAATAGTCTATTTATCTCTCAGAATAGACCCACAACATTTTGTTGTTCTGTTTCTCCAGCGTATTTAAGGTGTCAAATTTTGAAATGAAAGTGACTGGATTAACAATGCTCAACTATATACTTGTACATTTGACCAGTTGTTCAATACACATTTCTTTCTAAATTGTGCAAAATTGTACATATACATGTATTAGGATTAAGGAGGGGGTTTATTTTTGAATCCAGGATATTCAGACACATCAGCATGTAGCTGTGAATATCTTTTTAAAATTGTATTTATTATCTCACAAGAAAAACTAGTATTGTTTTTGTGAAGAAAACCATGTCTCGTAATTACCCAATCTGGGTAATTCCTTTGCACTTATTTGACCTCTGACTAAGAGGTGAAGGTTAGAGTGACCTAATTACTGTGCAATACGCATGCACACCTTCTGAGGGTGATGCAGATATACTTAAATTCCATCAAAAATCTTAAACAGTTCAAAAGCTAAAGCAGACAATATGTTATAAGAAGAATACCCAAACAAGAAGAACAAGAACTAATATGTCTCCTTTTCAACTGAACAGCTCGACTTTTGTTAAAAACACCCAGGGTTTCAATAACAGCTCCATCATTTATAGGACTTGGACATTAAATAATGATTGTACCTTGTAGGGCAGTGTTTTCATCTTCCTACAGAGCAGGCCACAGTTGCATGTGTTATCCATTCAAATAAGCCATCGTAAATGCTCAATGTATTTTGATTTTTTAACAATAATTGTTTAGTTTTTCACCAAACATACTTTGAAAACTAAGAGGAAACTTCAATAGGGATTGGTTGATGTCCAAATGAACATTTACAGGGCTGAAAATCAGTTGGAATCTGCCAGCTTGGTCACCATACCTTCCTGTTCAACTGGGCGGTTCATCTCCATTTTTGATCTCTTGTCCAGGTCTCCGTGGTAACTGATGTTGCTGATGGTCTCCATGTTTTTACGTACACGCTTAGTCTCAGGATCATCAGCAATAGAAATCTTAGCACCTTTTGATTTCTCAAATTCTGCATGATATTTAATCTGTAAACAGGAAGAATGAATTATACCATTAGTTCACAATGGGTTTGTCATACTGGGGAATTTTATTTCTTTAATTTCTGTCAAAAACAACTCTGTGGACTCCCAATCTATCCAAGTAATATTAAATAATGATGTTAACAGAAACTTAACATTACAGATTGATAATGTGTTTGGGGTTCAGCTTGGTATTTTTTTATCAATATGAATTTGACAAAGAGGTTTCCTTGAATCCTCCCCCTTTTTATGAACTATTTTTGTTAATAACACCTTTACGATTCTCCCTCAATGTGTTGCCAAACCCGTCTATAATGCCACCATTGACAAGGTGGCTAATGACGACAATACACAAAATTGTCCCAGTCTTAAAACTGTGAATTCAGCATTTATTGTGCTTGTAAGTTACTCACTTCAGATAAGTGAAGCTAAGATACCATAATACAACTTTCAACAAGTCATCTGATGTACATTCTCTAACAAACATCTGATGTACATTCTCTAACAAACATCCGATGTACATTCTCTAACAAACATCTGATGTACATTCTCTAACAAACATCTGATGTACATTATTTGACAACATATCTGATGTACATTATTTGACAACATATCTGATGTTTGCTAAGGGTATTGACAAACATGCTGAAAAAAAAAATCCCTGTATACAATCTTGACTTCATGCTGTTAAAACAGACATCATGCATGCATCGTTATTGAAAGCACTCAACAATATCAAGTGCTGTACGTACCACCAACATGATGGTATTAAATACAAGGACAATAAATGTGACATCTCCATACAACACATTGATCGGTCACAACACATACACTTAACTGCAACCTTATGATATATATATCCTGTGACCTTGACCTTATGATATATATCCTGTAAGTGGAAAATTATATACCTTATAAAGCTTCATTATTTCACACACACACTACTTCAGTGGATGAAGAAAATACATACAACTTTGATATTTATCCTCTGAAGTCAAAACTTTGACCTCAAACATGGGGTTTGGTTATGTAGTAAAAATTGTCTACCCATCTGATACAGAAAGCAGAATTACCTTTGACATCTGACTGACTTTTCATTTGTTCACAATCTTATCTGTATTAATTTAAGCGGTCCAGCTGCTACGTTTTTTTGACTAAACATTATTGGTGATTTTGACATTTGAACTTTTTAATTTTGAGTCACAGAGTGTGTATGTCATCATAATATTGATGATGAACATATGGCCATCAAATAACTTCAGTTAACTAAACATTTACAGTTGTAACAGCAAAATGTTGGTGATTTTGTTTATATTCAATCCTTGACCTTGAGGTAAAGGATACAGAAGAGTATGTACATATCTATCTGACACAGAGTCAGTACCACTACTGTGTTCTCTTGTTTTTCATTTACAGTTGTAAAATGTGGGTGATATTTTTCATATTCAATCCTTGACCTTGAGGTAAAGGATACAGAAGAGTATGTACATATCTATCTGACACAGTCAGTATTACCACTACTGTGTTTTCTTGTTTATGATCATAATTCCATCAAAAATATTGTCAGTGTTTCATGGTTTAATTTCGCACAAGCAAATATTGACAGGCAAACATATAACCAGACCCAAATAACATAAAATATCGTAAAAATATGTGCCATCAATGAATGCTTGAAACTATCTGTCTTTTTCTTAAAGCAGATTGATAGAAACTTGGGTATTAAAGATCTTGGCCAATATTCATGAAACAGTTCTCATGCTCAAGCATGGATTTTGTGCTCAAGTCTAATTCCTTGTTCCGGTTATAAATCTGTAAAAAAGTATTATTTTGTCAATGATTTGGAAAAAATATTAAGAGACTTAAAGCTGCATGCTATGTCCAATGTTTACATTTGACTTCTTTTTGATTGTTTGACATAATTAAAGTGAGTTAGAAGAAAGCTGGTGTGAGCACAGAATCCATGCTTGAGCATGAACACTTTTTAATTATGCATGCGGCCCTGGTTATTTTGAGGAAATTTAACTGAACAAACGGATGAAGATTGGGGGGTGAGGGGTGGGGGGATTGGTTGTCAAAATCACATCAGTGACCCTCCAGGACTCTGAACAATAACTGGAAGTAGAGTGGGGTGTGGGGGATGTTGGGAGTTGTTGCTAGGATTTTTTTTTATAATACAATGATATTTTCACTGAGGTGTGTTTTAGCTAACTAAGGTACCTGGGCTTATGTTTTGTTGTGGAAAAGGCAAAAATCAAATGGATAAAACTGTTGAAATACCATGCCTATATTCCATTAAAGCATTATACCGTACTGAAATTGTCAGTATTTCGAAAGTGTGTTTTCATTTCAACTGTGTCACATATTTGGTTACACGTTCCCCGCTGATTTGTGAACTCTTTCTGATATTCTATCTGAAAATGATGAAAACAGAGTGCAACATCGACAAACCTGACTACAACACTAATTGGTAGACCAATTACATAGAATCTGTTGTGGGATACTTTTGGACTGAAGAACAACATTTGTAGGGTTAATTTTCATGATTTTGCATTATTATTATTATCAGTGTTTGGTTTTTGTCTGCCGGAACTTATTATAGAGTATCTCCCGTTATAAAACTGGGGAAACTTTCACTGGTGATTGGAATTCATATTTTAAGAAATGTTTCAACATATAGTGAAATACGAAATTTATATATTGTACTAGAATTGGTATTGGTGTTATAATTAGGTTTGTCATAAGCAGATCAAACACCACAATTGTAAACAAAAAAACAAAGCAACACTAATATACAATAGGTCTACAACAAACAGAAATTTTACACGTACGTCTTACTGAAGTTCTCTTGTATAATACATAGATAACAAAGGTCTGCTTTTCCTTCCATAAAATTACTTACCAAGGAAATACAATTACAGAGAAGGGTGATGTCACTTCTACTCACTTTTGGTACATTTGTACTTATATACAAATAGCAGTCATCTACTTCAAATAATTACAATTAATATCAACAAATAACAATAATCCATATCTTTCAAAGCAGAGTACCAGTCCACAATGTATCAATCAAATTTCCAAATTGCTTTTGTTAAGCAAGCAAAGATGGGAAATGGCTGCATGTACAAGTTGATGATTGGGCCTGGGTCACAGCTGACAGAGATGGTGGTCATGACGACAGAAAGAAATGTTGTGAATTTCAGCTTTTAAAACTGTTGGGATAGGATTTCACATTCAACAGGTTACTTCTCACAAGTTCCAGGGCTTTAGTTGTCATCATGAGTTTTCAAACGATAGAGATCTCCTATTATATAAGTTAACATACTGATATATACAAAATGAGAAAATATTTTCAGAAGGGAGTTTATTTAAATGTCCTTTGGCAACATATTATAAACCAATGATAAGTGTGCGTATATGTTAATACACTGAACTATCATCTTCAGCAAGTCAAAAACTAGCAGGATGCAACTACAAAATGTACAATGGCTCCTGTTGTTCTTTCAAAGGGAAGCAACTCTAATGGAAATTAAGGTAAAGATATATTTTTTAACACAGGAAATCACAAAACAATGCATGTTTAATAGTGCTTTTTCAAATAACTTCAGACGTCCAAACTCAAGTGCAAGTTTAGGCCAGAAGAAAGGAAGGCATAAGTATTCTTTACCAAGCTTACAGAGCAGTAATAGATAGGATTGTTTTGGTCCATCTTTACACTCACCGTCACGGCCGGTTTGGTCCATCTTTACACTGGTATGCTTAATGATTGAAGACATTTAATAGCAGAAAATGTCAATAAATGAAACCATTTTGACTGTGTTTCACTCACAATATGCCTTTATCACAGCAAAATGAAAATCAAATTTCTACACCTAATTTGGTTCTACAACTCGTCAGCCTTATACTACAGTTGGGAGACACAGAAATAACGTATGTGCAGCTTAACATTGATCAGACATAGAGCCACAAAACACACAGACAAACAGACAAGGATGTATAGATAGATATCTTAAAATTCCTCTAAGAAGGAGAAATTCATGATTAAGATTTATGAACATTCTACAACTGATAGACGACATGTCTGCAGGATACAGCTGGACAATAAACAAACTCCAGTAAATAAGATTTCATTGTCTGATAGTGTCTTATATGACAGCAATGGTCCTGAATCATGTTAGAATGATGGATGATAACTGTTCAACCACACCCAGGAAAACTATAGTAATATCTACCCCATCAAGATACTGTCTACCTGGTCAGACACTGGGGATCAGAAATGAAGAGGTATAAATTGCACACACCTGGAGAGGACTGCATTCAAAATGATCAAACACAAAACAAGATCAAATTATTCATGCCAAAAAATACTGAACAAAATGGATATGGATATATTAAACCAGAATCTAAAACAGTATTATATCATGAAACCAATATTTTGAATCTAAACCTGAACAAAAATGGTGTCAAGGTTTCAGCAAGCCCTTCAGAAACTTGTAACAGGATTGTCAACAAACTGGAGTTAAGGAGTAAACTCAATATTTGGTAGAACAGAATATAAGTTGAACTATTCAAAAAGTTCAAAGTTCAAGGGTATAGTTGCAAAGGTCATGAGTAAAGGTCATTCATTGTAACAAGACACACAGCATGTCTGATTACCAAGCTTATATTTTTGGTGTTGTCCCGAACTCGTTTGAGATCCGGAGTGTCCACAACTGGTGTAAATTGGTCCTTCATCCTCTCAAAATCTTTGTGATATTGTATCTGTCAGGGAAAATCATAAGTCCTCACTTACAAATTGCAACAGTTGTTTGTATTTCTGGATATATTACAATTACACAGGAATCAGGTTCCTTTCAAATACAATGTCAAAATATTTATAACAAACACATTATTTCTTCTTCTTTGACCTTGTCTATTGTCCAAATTTTTTTAATGAGTAAATATATATATATATATATATACACACACTACATCATGAAACCAATTAATGAAGTCTTGTAAAATTGGTTATTTGAAGGTTATAATTATGATATAAAGATATTTTTCAACTGACAATTCAAATTCAGGTTTATTTAATCTATAGATATTGAAATCCTATAAAATATTCCCTAGCTACTGAGATTGCTCTTTACTGTTGATGACAAAACAAGGCAGGCGAGAATTGATGAATCATCCTCACATACACACATAATATATCTGCTTTGTTAGTCTGGTGACAACTGGCAGTTACATTAGGCAGAAATACTGCATTGGTACGTATATATATACGTATCCTAGTAACCATGGTGATGACAGCACTAGGTGACAAGGAATCCTAGTACCATATATCAGCATCCTTATATAACTGACAGTCATAACACAAACAAGGCTGTTTTACCCCTCTTAACAACTAGATACAGTTTTGATGCTACATATTTTACTACAGCTTTTAATATTTTCAATGTAAGTTGTCCTATATACACACACTAACTGTTACTCTGTTCAACAAGCATGGCATACAGTTTAAATTGAAAACACTACATATACAATATACACAGCAAAAAAAGTTTTATTGATGACCAATTCAAAACTGCAAAGTAAGTGATGTCTAACGCCACATGTACAGTGTACACTGCAAAGTAAGTAATGTCTAATGCCACATGTACAGTGTACACTGCAAAGTAAGTAATGTCTAATGCCACATGTATAGTGTACACTGCAAAGTAAGTAATGTCTAACGCTACATGTACAGTGTACACTGCAAAGTAAGTAATGTCTAACGCTACATGTACAGCGTACAATGCAAAGTAAGGAATGTCTAACGCCACATGTACAGTGTACACTGTAAAGTAAGTAGTGTCTAACGCCACATGTACAGTGTACACTGCAAAGTAAGGAATGTCTTACGCTACATGTAGTGTACACTGCAAAGTAAGTAATGTCTAATGCTACATGTACAGCGTACACTGCAAAGTAAGGAATGTCTAACACCACATGTACAGTGTACACTGTACATGTGGCGTTAGACATTCCTTACTTTGCAGTGTACATTGTACATGTAGCATTAGACATTACCTACTTTGCAGTGTACACTGTACTTGTAGCGTTAGGCATTACTTACTTTGCAGTTTTGAATTAGTCATCAATAAACCTTTGCAGATTACAACTAGCTATAAATGTTACTTTGCCGTGTACACTGTACATGTGGCGTTAGACACTACTTACTTTACAGTGTACACTGCAAAGTAAGTAATGTCTAATGCTACATGTACAGTGTACACTGCAAAGTAGGTAATGTCTAATGCTACATTTACAGTGTACACTGCAAAGTAAGTAATGCCTAACGCTACATGTACAGTGTACACTGCAAAGTAAGTAATGTCTAACGCTACATGTACAGTGTACACTGCAAAGTAACATTTATAGCTAGTTGTAATCTGCAAAGTTTTATTGATGACTAATTCAAAACTGCAAAGTAAGTAATGTCTAACACTACATGTACAGTGTACACTGCAAAGTAAGTAATGCCTAACGCTACATGTACAGTGTACACTACAAAGTAAGTAATGTCTAATGCCACATGTACAGTGTACACGGCAAAGTAAGTAATGTCTAATATAATGCAACATGTACAATCCATTAAAGTAAGTAACATTTATAGCTAGTTCTAATCTGCAAAGTAAGAATTGTCAAACGCTACATGTACATGTACACTACAAGTAAGTAACATTTATAGCTAGTTGAAATAGTATTAAAGTTTATTTTATTGCTACAGTGCAAAGCTTTTGTTAGTGTCCATGACTTTTAAAGAATGTACATGAATAAATATTATTCCCTGTAAAAAATACATTGAAATTCATCTGAGTGAAGGGAGCTAACTATTTTTCCATACTGTATACCAAATATATGCAATACTACCATGTCGAGTTTACTTATCCATAATATGTTAGTGCATTTCGGATTGATGTCTGACCAACAGCACTTACAATTCAGCTCATTTTCGCAAAATTATTGAAATCAAATTTTCAAATATAATCAAGTACCTCAATTTATTTAGATCTTCTACAACTTATATAATTCAGACTCTGAAATAGTTTTTCTTTAACTTTCAACTTTCAAACAATGAGATGAGTTGAAATTCATTGGAATGATACATATTTACAATTTTTACTTTCAGGTGCTGGGAGAGAATTGGTCTGTTGTATCCCATTGTGTGTTAGTGTAAGAGGCACCTAATATGGATTTCCTGCAGAAATGGTTGGTTCTGTGTCTTCTGCTTTAGGGACATTGAAGAAATCAAAATTGATCCGCAGCCCAAACTTTAACACTTGGGATCAAAATCTGTTTTTTATTTCTCTACTCTTTCTTTTTGGCAGTGTCTCCTTAACCCATTCACCCCTGAAATTCCGTAATGAACTATTCCAACCTTTGAATTGGAAGAGTTCAAATGTGTCTTCAGGGGTGAATGAGTTAATTAGACACCTGCCTTTCTAATGACCTTATCATTAAAGCTGTCTCAAGAACATCAAACCCAAACAAACCAATGATTTGTGCATGTAAATGTACAATACTTATGTTAGAAAACTGGAAATTTACATTTAAGATACCAACAATGCCCTGCTGAAAAAGAATACCAGTGTTTTCTTGTCAGTACTAATTGTGCAAACATTATGTCTGAAGTATAGTAAGAGGAGTAACTTTCTAACTATGATCGTGTGTCTTAGATTGCTGGTGACAAACTCACCGGGGATGGACAGGAAACAAACAAAGTGGAATATTTAGGTACAATAACCACTCTATCGCAACTGGAAGGAACACCTGGTCTCTATCACAGTTTTTTCATTCTTATTTGGAAGGAGTTGATGACCTCTTTCCTTTGTCTTGGTGCCTCCTTGGTTCCTGTTGTTGTTTCATATTAAATTTGGGTTCCACTTTTTGTTGTTGTCTCAAACTGTACATGTGGTTATAATATACTTTTCCTTTATCAGGTTTGTTACTTAGCAGAACTTTTGTTTTCAAATAATACTCTTTTCAAAGCTTGATTAGAGGAACTTGATAAAGTGAGGTACAATATGATAACATTTGGTTTTATCATGAGTCTCCCCTAATTGTAGAAAGCTAACTTGCAAAGATCTAGAGGTAATGGACCAGAGCATTGTCACCCATCATTTGACGAGGCTTACTAATGTGCTATCTACATACAAACATTGATTTCCTACGCATACTGACAAATCAATCCTACATACTACAAACAACAAAATGCTACAACAGCTAAGTTGACATTACATGTAACATGTAACAACGGTAACAAGTCGTAGCTCAATCATGTCTATACATGTGACGAACAAAAACAAAACTTATCACATTTTTTATAACAATGGGAGGGAATTAGATTTACGTTGAAGATCTACAGTAAATCACTTAAAAGAATAGTTGAAGCAAAATTCTATTTCAATCACTGTATTTGATCAGGCAACAGCATTTTGATGTGTGCTAACAAAACATTGTGAAATTTTCCCCTAAACACTTTCAATCCATGGTTTTGGGGTTCTTGACAGAACTTTTGTTAACTCAGATTCCTTTTTGAAAACAAATTCAAAATATTTCATTAATAGAATAAGAAGAAACTGTCAAGTGCATCCAAGGTGTTTTATACCAAAACATATATGTGATATATTCTTTTCAGGGATATGTGCTTTAACTCATTTACCCCTAAAGACACATTTGAACTCTTCCAATTCAAAGGTTGGAATAATTCATTACGAAATTTCAGGGGTAAATGAGTTAAGATCAATAAAGTATGTACATTCGTAACTGATTATTTTGAAGAATTTATATCAAAATTCAATATAAGTGATTTACAGTCAACATAAACATATATATATACACATGTATGCTCCAAGAGGTGTTCGTGCTGAATATCTTAAATTATACCGAGCTAAGATTTTTGGTATTGAGCAAAAGCCGCTTCATGTCGACGGTGTCCGACACCTGTGTGTATGTGCCTTTGCTGCGCTCGAAATCACTGTGATACTGAACCTGTGAAAGTCGGCAACCAAAACAAAGAAAAAACAAGTCCCAGGGTAAAAACTAAACAAAGCACAAACACGTTCAGTACCTTCTGTAACAGCCCAGTAATACCATCACTCATAAAGAATTGAGGGGAAAAACACAATAGTTGCCTGTCATTTCTGACTGAATATTTTCATAGCCATAGGTCATCATATGCCTAGCTAAAACAAACAAAGATGTTCTAAAAATCTTTTGATTGTCAAAGGAAAAAATACATAAAAATTACATAAAAAACAAAAAATGAAAAACATAAATTAACCAAGAATTCTTTCTTATAACAAAATGCATTGATTTTGATATAACATTTCATTTTTATAATTTGGGAAATTATACTTAAATATATATCCAACCTTTTTAACACAAGAAAACCAAATTTGGAAAGGCAAATTAGCATTAGTTACTGGTATATTGGTTAATGGCAGGTAGACTTTGTCACTGATTCTATTAATGAGATGTAATAACCTAGTACATAAGCATTTCGATGGCTCTACACTAATAATTCATCAATAAAAAAAAAGATAAATAAAAGTGATTACATAACTACTACATATCGAAAGCATGAATGAGATTGAGAAAAAACAACATGGAACTATTTCTACTGAACACACCATGCTGTGATTGTGATAAATTGTGATAATAGAGATATGTGTATCAAGGTGTCGTAACTCAAGATATCCAAAATGTGTAAATATGCTTATTACCAACGTTTGAAGATGAATACAAAGGAAGTTAATGATTTTCCTGGAGGCTTTTAAGGCAACTTTTTCTCCTTATATTTTTTAATACTTTGTTTTTGTGCTCCCTGGTGGTATCAAGTTAATTCATTGGATTCGTATTTCTTGAAGGATAATACAGATTCAGGCTGTATAGAGTGACCTTTTTCTAAATGATTTTTATTTGTAATCTAATTCATTTCTAACATGTTTACAGATATTCCATGACCTTTACGTGTTATCTTAATTTGAAAAATAAAAACTTCATTAAATTTTTGATATTTCATTGTTTTCAATAATAATATTTATAAATTATATTCCATCATATAAAATATGATTGCAGAACTAATTTTCTGAAAATAATATATAAATTTGAGCTTTTAAACCTGGCATAATTCATAAGCCTGCATTTAAAAACCTGACTTTCAACTTCGGTCCTCCATACACATCTCTTTGTAATTCAAACCTTTGTATTATATCTAGCTTCCTATTCTGAGGAAATGTTTGCATATTATGGTAGGGTTCCAAGGTTGGTTCCTGCAATAAAAACAGAAAATTCGTCGACTACAGATGACTTTGAGGCTAACTTGTACCCACGTAAAAGACGCTGATACATGTATTACTGACAGTCATCTAAATGTATACTTGCGTCACTGATGATATCACCTATGTGTATACTTACATTACTCTGGATTTTTGTGTTCTCCGCGATTCTTCTGCTCTCTGGAGTATCTGCCACAGCTGTGTGCGTTGTCTTGGGGTAATGCCTACGATGTTGGTAAAACAAAATTATAACAAACAACATATTACACCAAGTGTGTTATTTCTAAAACAACTCCCTGTTACCGTTCCTCTTGTGATGTTTTTTAGACTTCCCTTCAGGTGTCAAACCACCTTATCAGAGATATGTAAATGGCCTCGTACAGCACATGAACCATTATAGCAAATGACTCGAACAAGTAACAGCAAAGTTTATTTTATTTCGAAAGTTTTGAAAGAAATTGGTGAAAAACTGTGATAATCCCAGTATGAATGCCCCTGTATATCAAAATGAACAATCGTTTTGCAGATGTATTATACACTTCTTAATTATAGTGTGGGATACATCTTCTTAGGAAGGTAATGTAACAAACTTGTACACTAAACGTTGGGCACATTAACTGAACAATCCAACAATGGTTTTTGTTCGATTATCTTGCTTAAACAATATTCTTATACAGCTTTGATATTTCATATATATATATATATGACACTGCCTCCAGAGATTGCTAGATATCCTAGGCTGTTACACAAGAAATACCTACAGTTATGAGGAGTACAATCCCTCAGAAATGTTTAGAATTCTCTGGTACCTGCTGTCTCTCAGTATTACACATGACAGTCAGGGAGACTGATTATGTTTGTGACTTCCAGCCATCACTAAGGCGTACAACTGATCAGGATAGCGCTGTTCTGTAGCATACTTAGCATTGCTGGCTTTCGAGCATGTCACCATCACTGTACATGGAGTGGACTAAGTAAGTTACAAATATGAATTCTACATTTCACTAGGTCATTAACCATATTATAACTTGATCCTTAAATCCTTAATCACCTTGGCCATTCAAGTTCAAGACCTTCAGAAAAACCCAGACCTACAAGTCCCTCCCAACCTTAACCTTCAGGTCCACAACAGCTTAAGTGTTTATGTTCCTAGTATCTTACAGTCTCCTGGAGCTGTATCCTTCAAAGTGCTAAACATTGATAATCATCAAGTCTCTGATATAACCACACATGATAATGTCTGTAACACATGAATGCCCTTGATCCAAGGCATGTGTGTCAATGTTGGACAAATTTCAATAAAACAGTAATGTTGACCTTGGTCTTGAGCTTGGAACTCAGAAATACAAACTCATTAAAGACATTCTCACACAATACTTCTTGAAAAAAGTTTGATCAAGATGCCATTGACTTGGTTGACAAATTTCTATAAAAAGGAACATTGACATTAGCTTTGACCTTTGTTAAAACCTGAAATGTGGACTAATCAAGGTATACTTATGCCTGATCTTTGTATATAAAAATTTAAATATTTTTTTTGTTAAGAAATGAATTTGCTTCCACAATGACCCTGAATCAGGACAGGGTAGATATATGACCTCAGTAGAACAGTAGGGGCAGACAAATACCAATTGTGACATTCTGACAACAGCAAATGTTTGGTTTACTGATGGAGTGAAGACTGCTGACATGCTGGACCCAATGCACATGGCCCTCCAGAATCCCTGCATTGTGTAACAAGTGCCAGAATTATTGTTACCTGACCACACCTACACATGTATAGGCCCAGCAGATACATCACAACAGCTGTCATTGTGGTACAGCATGCTTTGAGTTCTGTATGTAAACAATCCAGACGTATTTCCATCACATACAGCTACCATAAATGTCTCTTTAACAATAACTATTAGCCTACCATAAATATCCATTTAAACAATTACGGCCAACCTAGTGTAGATTTAGATAATTTGTTTCCACAAAAGTTTAGCCGTAACTGCATGCGACCTCCCACAGAATTTCCAAACGGTGGTCATAACTCCCATTGGGGGATTCGGGGGTTAGCAGGTATGTTTATACTGGAGGTCAAGTATATGTGAAGCAAGACCTCTAGACATATACCTGAACTACAACAAGTACAGTATACATATATATACTCCACCTTAATCATTCAAGACAATTCTACCACTGTGATCATACTCACGCATTGCAGTATGGTAATTTGTTATATCCTTTGTAATTTTTCATGTTAAGTGACATCCCACACTCTTGACACCGGAAACATCCCTTGTGCCATACCTGTAAACATAGAATCAAATAGTTAGTCACCTTGTGTTACTTAACAAGTTGATATTTTTATGACCAGAAAAAGGTTTCAAATTGAATCTTTAATACATTTTCCATTTGATATTTCACTTATACCACCACATTTCAAGGTATCTTTCTTCCTGATTTCATAATATGATACTTCCTTTATATATATCTTCACTGAAAAATATCTTTCTTCAAATGTGCTGTTTTATGATATAATTACTTTTGGACAACAAAGTTAAATTATTAACTTATCATTCATTTTCACTAATTCTCAGAAGTTCTTATGAATATGTTGTTTGAAGCTGAGATTCCCAAAAACATATTCTTGAAAATTAGATGGCACACAGAAGTTTCTTCAAGTGTTTTTGGTATATTCTGCATTAAAACTATGTTCAATTCAGCTCTGTACAGGAACTATATCATCATCATTATCATCTGTCTAAAGATGACAATCGGGCTCAAATTATTGTTACCACACGTATTGGATAAATATATGCGATATTAAAGAAAGCCTAAGAAATTCCAAATACTCTACAAACAAGCATTGCTATAAATGTTCAAATTTAATTTTGAGGCCAACATGTAACTACTTTCATATGATACCTGTTGAGTATACATATCCTTCCATACTCAAAACCAGGAAAAGCATTGAAGAGACACATCCTTCCATCCTCAAAACTAGGAAAAGCATTGAAGAGACACATCCTTCCATCCTCAAAACTAGGAAAAGCATTGAAGAGACACATCCTTCCATACTCAAAACCAGGAAAAGCACTGAAAAGACACATCCTTCCATACTCAAAACTAGGAAAAGCATTAAACAGACACATCCTTCCATACTAAAAACCAGGAAAATCATTGAAGAGGCACATCCTTCCATACTCAAAACCAGGAAAAGCATTGAAGAGACACATCCTTCCATACTCAAAACTAGGAAAAGCATTGAAGAGACACATCCTTCCATACTCAAAACTAGGAAAAGCACTGAAGAGACACACATCCTTCCATACTCAAAACCAGGAAAATCATTGAAGAGGAACATCCTTCCATGCTCAAAACCAGGAAAAGCATTGAAGAGACACATCGTTCCATACTCAAAACCAGGAAAAGCATTGGAGAGACACATCCTTCCATACTCAAAACCAGGAAAATCATTGAAGAGGAACATCCTTCCATACTCAAAACCAGGAAAATCATTGAAGAGGAACATCCTTCCATGCTCAAAACCAGGAAAAGCATTGAAGAGACACATACTTCCATACTCAAAACCAGGAAAAGCACTGAAGAGACACGTCCTTCCATACTCAAAACTAGGAAAAGCATTGAAGAGACACATCCTTCCATACCCAAAACCAGGAAAAGCATTAAACAGACACATCCTTCTATACTCAAAACCAGGAAAATCATTGAAGAGGAACATCCTTCCATACTCAAAACCAGGAAAATCATTGAAGAGACACATCCTTCCATACTCAAAACCAGGAAAATCGTTAAAGAGACACATCCTTCCATACTCTTTGTATGCAATTTATGGAATGTAATTAAAATATTTGACTTTTTTCCTCGGATGAATACTGTTATTCAAAATTAAAAAAAAAATGTTCACATCTATATACAATGTGTAAATCCCAAGAATGTTATGGTTTTTTAAATCATTGTTTGGGTCATTAAAGTGTTTGACTAGGACCATTTCTATGATATAGTTTCAATTGAGTTGAACATTTTTTACAGCTGTGTGACCATACTTCATACCTACTCCTAGCCATAAACAAGTATATGATACATTTCTATCTGAACGTTTCAATCACTATGAACATAAATATAACTTATTATATGGTTTTAACATGACATAAATAACCTCCCTTTTTATTACTCTGATCCGACAATAAGGTTTTATTTTCATATCTAGACAGAAAAGTTCTTAATTATAATAGGATGAATTTGTGGTTTACAGATAGTTAGATCTACTGTAATTTAGTGAAATTGTTTGCTGCTGTTTGGATTTTGCATGTTCATTTCACTGCAAATAATAACTTCCACAAAGTAACCCTGTATACAGTATAACATAGTAACCCTGTATACAGTATAACAAAGCAACCCTGTATATAGTATAACAAAGCATCCCTGTATACAGTATAACAAAGTAACCCTGTATATAGTATAACAAAGTAACCTTGTATACAGTATAACAAAGCATCCCTGTATATAGTATAACAAAGTAACCCTGTTTACAGTATAAAAAAGTAACCCTGTATACAGTATAACAAAGTTACCCAGTATACAGTATAACAAAGTAACCCTGTATACATTATAACAAAGCATCCCTGTATACAGTATAACAAAGTAACCCTGTATATAGTATAACAAAGTAACCTTGTATACAGTATAACAAAGCAACCCTGTATACAGTATTACAAAGCAACCCTGTATACAGTATAACAAAGTAACCCTGCATACAGTATAACAAAGCATCCCTGTATACAGTATAACAAAGAATCCCTGTATACAGTATAACATAGTAACCCTGTATATAGTATAACAAAGTAACCCTGTTTACAGTATAAAAAAGTAACCCTGTATACAGTATAACAAAGTTACCCTTTATACAGTATAACAAAGTAACCCTGTATACATTATAACAAAGCATCCCTGTATACAGTATAACATAGTAACCCTGTATAGGGTATAACAAAGCAACCCTGTATACAGTATAACAAACCAATCCTGTATACAGTATAACAAAGCAATCCTGTACACAGGATAACAAAGTAACCCTGTATACAGTATAACATAGTAACCCTGTATAGGGTATAACAAAGCAACCCTGTATACAGTATAACATAGTAACCCTGCATACAGTATAACAAAGCATCCCTGTATACAGTATAACAAAGTAACCATGTATACAGTATAACAAAGCAATCCTGTATACAGTATAACAAAGTAACCCTGTATAAAGTATAACAAAGCAACCCTGTATACAGTATAACAAAGCAACCCAGTATACAGTATAACAAAGCAACCCTGTATACAGTATTACAAAGCAACCCTGTATACAGTATAACAAAGCATCCCCGTATACAGTATAACAAAGCAACCCTGTATATAGTATAACAAAGTAACCCTGTTTACAGTATAACATAACCCTGTATACAGTATAACAAAGCAACACTGTATACAGTATAACATAGTAACCCTGTATATAGTATAACAAAGTAACCTTGTATACAGTATAACAAAGCATCCCTGTATATAGTATAACAAAGTAACCCTGTTTACAGTATAAAAAAGTAACCCTGTATACAGTATAACAAAGTTACCCTGTATACAGAATAACAAAGTAACCCTGTATACAGTATAACAAAGCAACACTGTATACAGTATAACATAGTAACCCTGTATATAGTATAACAAAGTAACCCTGTTTACAGTATAACATAACCCTGTATACAGTATAACAAAGCAACCCTGTATACAGTATTACAAAGCAACCCTGTATACAGTATAACAAAGCATCCCCGTATACAGTATAACAAAGCAACCCTGTATATAGTATAACAAAGCATCCCTGTATACAGTATAACAAAGAATCCCTGTATACAGTATAACATAGTAACCCTGTATATAGTATAACAAAGTAACCTTGTATACAGTATAACAAAGCAACCCTGTATACAGTATAACAAAGTAACCCTGTATACAGTATAACAAAGCAACCCTGTATACAGTATAACAAACCAATCCTGTATACAGTATAACAAAGCAATCCTGTACACAGTATAACAAAGTAACCCTGTATACAGTATAACAAAGCAACCCTGTATACAGTATAACAAAGCAACCCTATAAACAGTATAACAAAGCAACCCTGTATACAGTATAACAAAGCAACCCTGTTACAGTATAACATAACCCTGTACACAGTTTAAAAGTAACCCTGTATACAGTATAACAAAGTTACCCTGTATACAGTATAACAAAGTAACCCTGTATACAGTATAACATAACCCTGTATACAGTATAACAATGTGCTGTATACAGTATAACATAACCCTGTATACAGTATAACAAAGTAACCCAGTATACAATATAACAAAGTACATGTACCAGTATCCTTATTGCCTGATCAGGTTGAAAATTTTGTTCCAAAAGGGCCAGAAGGCAAAAAAAGAAATATGGGAAAAAATAAAAAAGGTTACAGCAGGTGGCTCATAATTTGACCTTTAAACTTATACGTAATCACTTGAGATTATTAGAAAGGATTACTGGAAGACTTGTAAATATAGATAGTTGATATTTTATCGGGACCCATTCCAAAACTTTTTTTGAACAAGTGCTTTAAACATACAACAGATAAAATAAAAGCCTGCAATATTAATCTCATTCACATTCTTGTTATTGGCTATTTTTAGCACATTTACAAGTTGTAACACCGTAAAGTATTTTAGAGTGATTTACCAATTCTTGGTAATTTTAAGTATATATTATATCATAAAACAATTTGATATAGAGATTAAAAAAGCATGCCAGTTTTTGGTCTGTGGATATTTGTTGCAGACACTTGACCTTGTCTGACCTAATGATAAGCCTGCATCCTACCAGACTCTGCGAAGGTTTCAGAGGGTGGAAAGGTCAGATCAATATCTACAAATCAATACTCAAATGAACCTTGCTGCAGTATTCCCTGTATGTACAGCCAAGGTTTATGGGAGATGGATGAAGGGTATTGGGTGATGGTGGAGGGAATAAAGAAGATTAAGGTTAGCAAGGGCTAAGCTACACTTGTATCAAATAATTCTCAAAGCTGATCCAAAGAAATCTCTAGCAGCGAAATATTTCAAATCTTAAGAACCTCAAGACTCAAAATGTTCAAGAGATTCCATACAAGTGTGACCAGGCCATTGGGTAGGCATTTAAAGACAAAGGGGGAGTGGGTGGGATGGAGATAAGGGGAAGATATAGGAATGGGCACGGGGGAGGGAAAG